TTCTTAATAACCTGCTATGCATCAGAAAGTTGGACAATGAATAAGGATGACAGAATAATTGATGCCTTTGAATTGTGGTGATTGAGATATGTGCTGCAAATCCCATGGACTGCCAAAAGGACAAACAGATATATCTTGGAAAACATGCAGCCAGAGTGCCTCTTGGAGGCAAAGATGGCAAGGCTTCATCTTTCATAGTTTGGACATATAGTAGGTGAAGCTATTTCTTGGAAAGGGACATATGCTTGGAAAGATGGAGGGGTCAACAAAGGAGAGAAAGAGCCCCAAGGAGATAGACTGACATGGTGACTTCAGCAACGGGCTGCTCTGTGTGTCAGAGGTGGTAAGGACAGCACAAGACAGGGCAAGGTTCAGGTGAGCTGTTCACAGGGTCATTCTGAGTCATACTTGACTAAAGGACACCTAACAACCACCACCACCAGTAGCCCAGACCCTTCTGCAATCAAATTTTGGATCACCCTAGTACGTAAATAATAATAACCAGCTGATGTGCTTACTGAGGGAAAAGAGAATGTGGGACGGAGGGAGGAAGAAGATAGTTCTAAATACCAGCTATGACTATGTGAACAATTGTACAAACAAGGACTCTAATTGTTATTAGTTCTTTCTTGTATATGTCTAGGTCTAGGTCTAACTTTGATTTTGTCATAGTCTTTAGAGATTATGTATGGTTTAAGGAAATGTATACCATGCTGGTGCCATGCTGCTAAAAGGGGGACTTTTTTTTTTTTTTTTAGGTAAAAAATAAAGAAAAAATATGTCCTTATGGTATGGACTTTCCTCCCTGGAAAGGAAATAATGGAGAAGCTAAGAGGTAGATTTTGATGGCTAGGGCTGTGTTTCAACTTGACTACCCATGGCTCTCTCGTTTGGTAGTTATGATGGGATCATAGATGAGATATGATATACTATAATCACTTCCATGATGAAATCTGCTATGGGCTGCAAATCAATGGAAAAAGTTTCCTCTCTGACGTGGCCTTTATTCCAAATATAAGGACATTTTAGCAAAGTTCTGGCTTTTGCTCAATTTGCATCCTGCATCTGGTTTATCACCATATTCTCTCTAGTTCTTTGAACTTGAGCCAGTGACCTGCTATACTACCTGCTGATCTTAGATTCATTAGGCTTGAAAGCCAGCACTTGTTTGAGCTAGTAATTATACATACATCCGCTCCTGCAACTGTGTAAGTTAAAATAAGCCTCTAACCTGACATTTGAGCCCTTGATTTGGAATTAGAATGCCTCTGCAATTGTGTGAGCCATTTCCTTGAGCTAAATCAATCTCTCCATGGATCTGTATCTTAGCTTTGTTAGTTTTGCTTATTTACAAACATAGCCCAGGCCCTAACAACCTGATGTATTCTCGGGCCACTGTCTGTTCATAGTAACTATGGGATAAATACTAAGAACTTTTAGCATTTCCTTTTAAAACTCTATTTTAGATAGTCCTAGTTTTGTATCTCTATAATTTCTAGGCATGTAATATTCCTTCATCTCATCCATTTTCATACTATAACAACAGCATTAATATCAGCATGTATCTACTTGGGAATTTTCAAAGAATTTTCACATGATCTTCCAAAGAACTTTGAGATATAGACAGGAATAGCTTTTATTACTTTCTTTTCCAAGATGGATGGAAGTAAGGCTGGAAAGTTCAGTAAATGCCCAATATCCCATCATGAAGCATGGGGTTATTAGCAGGCCCTTCCCTTGACCCTGATTCTAAGGATGGGAAACAGAATTAAATCATTCAGTTTAAGGAATATGTACGGTAATTCTAAATATCCAACTTCAATTAAAAATGAGGAGGAAGATAGGAAGAAGGAAAAGGAGCTAGTGAGAATACACTTGATATTGTTGTTATCAGGTGCCCTCGAGTTGAGCTCTGTTTATAGTGGTCCTATGAACCACAGATGTGAACCCTGCCCGATCCTGCATCATCCTTACGATCTCTGACACACTGGAGCCCACGCAGTCACTGTGTCAATCCATCCGGCTCAGGGTCTTCCTCTCTTTTACCAACTCTCCACACCTTTCCAAGCATGATGTCCTTCTCTTAGCAAAGCCTCTCCCAACAATATCCCCAAAATGTGTGAGATGAAGTTTTGTCATCTTTGCCTCCAAGGAGCGCTCTGGCTGTACCTTCTCCAAGACATTACACTGAAGACAATACCTTATAACTAGTATTACATTAATAAAATATGTTCAAAATAATGGATTTTGGATTTTAAGAGCACCTGAGTGTGTGACGCATGAAGGAGCCTAGGCGGCATGAATAGTTAATTGCCTGGCTATTAACTGAATGGCTGGCTCCTCAAACCCACCCAGTAGCTCCACGGAGAAAGAATTGGTGATCTGCTTCCCTAAGAATTACAGTCAAGGAGACTCTTTAGGGTAGTTCTACTGTTGCAGGGTTTCTTATGATCAGAAACTGCCTTGACAGCACCTAAAAATAACAAAAATGATGCCTTATTTGTTTAATTTGGGAGAAAAAAAGGAAAAGGCACCAAGATCTTGAATTCAAGAGGGATATCTATCTATTATCTATCTATATCTATCTATCTATCTATCTATCTATCTATCTATCTATCTATCTATCTATCAATCTATCTATATCTATCGTATTTTTTGGAAGCAGGAGTGGCACCCACTTCTTAAACAACATGCCTCTGGAAACCCTATCAACTTTGATAAATTGCAATATACAGAAAGGCTTCAGACCTTTTTGTTCATAGGGTTGCTATGACTCATGCTTGACTTGACAGCAATTGTTATCAACAATAACATATGATACTTGAGGAAGCTCAGGTGGCTTTTGAAGTTGAAGTGGCTTTATAATCAAGTTGTGCTCCCAACTCGAAAGTAGGCGGTTGAAATCCACCAGCAGCTCCACAGGGGAAAGACCATCTCCTCCTGTGTAATTTATCGCTTCTGAAAATTCACTGGAGGGTGAGCTATAAACCGGTTACAATTCAGTGGAAATGAATTAGAGGTTTGCTGGTTTTTAAATATGGTAGTTGTAGTGCAAAGCAATATTGCTGTATGTTACCTTGTAAAAATAAGAATATAGATTGAATTGTATCATCCCAAAGTATCTGCTGAAATCCTTTATCTGTGAAAAGGACCCTATTGGAAAATAGGAAGCTTGCTTTTGTTATGTTAATGAGGCCAGACCAGAGGAGCTCTTTGCTGTCAAGGTTCTGGCTCACTGAGGTTCTCCATCAGTTTCAGAGGCTGTAAATCTTAACATGAGGAGGCGGTACATCAAACCATGGAAGACTTGAAGACTCTGGGTTAGCTGCACAGTTTACTATCGACTGTATGCTACTAGAGCCTCCTACCAGAGGGTGGGGGGTATTAAGCCAAATCACTTCTGTGTTATAAAAAGAGAACTAACACAGAGGAAGAGAACTTCACAAAATGCCAAGGGTCAATCAACACCAGAAACTGGAAGCGAGGTACACAGAAAATGTCAACATTGGCAAGGGCCTGACTGGGATATTTAGCCTTCAGAATTGTGAAAAGGTTAAGTTTCTGCTCTTTAGACCCACCTACTTGTGGGCTTTCTTTTTCCCCATTTACTGTAGCAGTGCAATAAATCTACAATATATGATTCAGAACTAATTCAATAGGTCAATATATATTTAATCTTCTTGTTAGGTGCTGTCGAGTTGAACTATGACTCATAGTGACCCTCCCTATGAACAAGAGATCTTAACTGTGCCCTATCCTGTACTATCTTCATATTACAAAATTTTACCTTCAGTTAAATCCAGATTTATAGGAGAGTTTTGGAAGCAGAAGTGACATCCACTTCTGTAATAGCTTGCCTCGGAAATCCTATGAACCTGGAGAGACGCTGACAGGCACCCAAGTGTTGAGGACTCTCCTTCATAGGGTCGCTATGAGTTGCCTGCGACTTGACGGCACTTAACAACAACAACAACAACAACAACAACAACAACATAGAAGAGTTAATCTTTAATGGCAAAATATTGGCTCTTTATTAAAAAAAAATACTTCTTCAGAAAGGAACATGCTTGGAATTCACTGTGACCAATCAATTAACTGTTGTGTTTATTCAGAAGCTTTTATTTTGGAGTCCGAGAACACAAAAGACATGTTTCCTGTTTACAACAGGTATTAGAAATTGAGATGTTTTTATTTCTATTATTTTTGAGTAAAACTGTAGATAATGTTCCAAACCATCATCAAAAATGCAGACCAAACTTCTCTGTATAGAAACTGTACATAAAAACAAGGCACTATACATTTTCGGGGTGATATTAAGGTAGAAAGGTTGATTTACACAGATTCTGAAGAATCTGTATCATTCAGTACAAATTCTTTGTTCATTTTAGCACCGGAAGCAGTACTCAGAACAAGTCATCCCTAATGTGGAAGGGAACGTTCCCAAATGTATTTAAAGATATACAGTGGTGGCAGAGCTAATTCCATAGAAGCAACTCCATCTACCCCTTAATATTATTTTGACACCAGAAAAACAAGTCTTCAAAGTGAATGAATACATATTGCTTCATTAAATACATATGTGATTTATATGGTGTTTATATAAATATATATATATATTTAGAGTCCACGAACTATCAAAATAACACTTTGTAAAGAGACCTGCTTAAAAAAAAAAGGCAGCAGCTAGCTGAAGCAAGAGGACAATGTCGCAGTGGTCGCTGAGGCACCACCACTTAAGGGCACATAAAAAATACTTTATTAACATTATCTGCTGGAAGAGAGTGCTCGGAAACATTCACAAAGTACACAACTCTGGGACAAGCAGATAGATGGTAACTTTAAGTTTTGAAAATGAGGATTAAAAAATATTCTTCTTCTTTTTTAAGAAATACCAGTCCAAAAAATCATTTCTTCTTCTTCCTGGTCCAATGGTATTGGAAATGACAGCAGAGACCTGTCCGGCGTGCCCCGGCGTGCTCTCGCCATGATGGCGTGGACACTCAGAAGAGCCCTTTGGCTTTCTTCAGGTTCACCTGCTTCCAGGAGGGCAGTGCATTGTATTCATCTCGTGTCATGTCTAGTGCAAACTGTGGAATTAGAAGAAAATGCCCAGGAGATGAGTAAAAAGACTACCAGACTCCTGAATCAAATGTGCAGTTTAAGTGCTCTCCCATTTCAAGAAGCACTTACCTCAAAGTCTTCATCAGTTAGGTAAATTTCAAGTTTTAGGGGATCCACTCCCTCAGGCAGTGGCCTGGCTAAGAGATCAGCCAGCGGATAAATGGTCTTACACAGCTTGGCCAGGACATCTTCCACCAGCGTGATTTGATTAGAAACTTCTGTGTCCTAGAGAACAGACGGAACAGAGAAAACTCCATGTCTCACACCTGAATATGTTTCACCAAAATGCTTGGGAACATCTGTTGTTGAGTTGGCCCCATTTTATGGCTGCTGCATGCCCAGTGGGATGAATTACTGCCCTATTCTGCAACATCCCATAGCTGGCTGTGAACAGTGGTGATCTGTTGGATATCCATAGGCTCATTTTCAGAAGTAGATGGCTATGCCTTTCTTCCTGGTCTATCTTTGTGTGGAAGCTCCACTAAAAACTGTTAAGCTTCGTAACGACACCCAAGCCTCCAACTGACAGGTGGTGGCTGCATGTGAGGGCTACTGCCATGAATTGCACCTGGGTCTCTTGCAGGAAAGGCAAGAATTCTATTACTGACCTACAGATGTGAATACTTTCATACTTGTCCAATCTGCACCTCACCCTATCTGGCAGGGCCCACGATCTTCATTTCCTTGAGAAAGAAATAAAGACTGTGACTGGAGTGAACTGTTTAAAGTCTTTCAGTCTCCTACTTTCTAAATGTCTCCTTTTGCCTCTGCAAAGTTTAAAATAACTCATCGTCCTCATTGTTGCCTCAGAAAGTTTGTAGGCCACTGAGTAAGTAAAGTGATGTTCTAAATGTTCAGCTTATTTCATCTGAAGTCTAAATACCAGAAATATAAAAATAATGGAATTTATTCTAGCATATATAGAATATGGGTCAATTGTTGTTTACAATTGACCTTACATGAAACCATGTAGAAGTCAGCTGTGGAAATTCTGTTTTCCATACAGGACAACCAGGTGCCAATCTCAGCTAAAGCCCTTCCTGTGGAGACACCATTCACCTGTCAGTGGAAGCGCCTGTGTTGCTAAGATGCTTAAGAGACCTCAGAGGTGCTTCTAGACTAAAACAGACTGAGAAGAAAATCTTGGTAATTTGCTTCTGGAAACCAGCCCACGATTACAACAGATTGTTCCACCACTGGGCCAGGGCCGATTAGCAACTTGTTCTGTTACACGTGCGGTCAATGTATATTGAGGCTGACTGGATAGTTATTAGCAACATAGAGTATTTTAGAGCTGAACTAAGACTGTTTCTAGCCTTTGAGCTCTTAAACCATTTAATGTAGACTAGATTATGCCATTTATCCATTGAATCTAGAGTAGATTAAACCTTTAATTTATTTAAACCTATTTATGGTAATCTATTTAAACTTTGAATCTATGTAATCTAGATGAAGAATTTAATATGGAATAGATTATTCTACGTAGATTATTTTCCCATACTAAAACGAGGACCCAAAAGAAGTTGACCTCCCCTTGGGTGGGAAGGTGGGGAAATGAACGACGTGGGGTAATGCATGACTGTGTTTGAAAATATTTGAGGCAGACTGGACATATAGAGGTCTGGCTCTGGAACACCTGTTTCTGAGTCCTGGTTCTTCCACTTACTGAGACTTTAGGCAAAGCTATTCAAGATTCTGGGTCTCAATTGCTTCACTGGTAAAATGAGGATACTAATAAACAAGAGAACAAAACTAAAAAAAAACAAAAAACCACAAAACAACACAACCCAAAAACTAGTAATCAAGAGAAAAAAAATCTTTACCACTAGACCAAGAAACAATGCCATGATAGACAGAGAAAAGACTGAAATTGCCAGTGACTGCATTTAACCTGGATCCACCATCAATACTCATGGTACCAGTAGTCAAGAAATAAAAAAGCAAGCTGCATTGGGAAAATCCACTGTCAAGAGATTGCTCTCCAAAGTGCTAAAAGGCAAAGATACCAGTGGAAAGACTAAGGTGACCCTGACCCAAGCTATGGTATTTTTAAATTACTGTTCATGTATCTCAAAGCTGGACATTGTGTAAGGATGACAGACGAAGATCAATGCCTTTAAACTGTTGTGTTGGCAAAGAATACTGAATATACTCCAAAGAACAAACAAATCCTTATTGAAGGAAGTGTAACCAGGGGGCTCCTTAGAGGTAAGGATGGTAGAACTTTGTCTCACTTTGGGAATGTTGTCAAGACGGGTCAGTCCTTAGAAAAAGATACCATGCTGAGAAGAGTAGAGGATCAGAGAAGGAGAAGGTGGCCCTCCAATGAGAGAGAGACATAATGAATGTAGCAATGTGCTCGAGGTTGTCAGAGCTGGTGAGGGTGGTACGGGGAGGGGCGAGGTTCAGATATGCCATCCATAAGGTCTGTATGAGTCACAGCCAACTCAAAGGCACTTAATAACAACCGCAGAAAGGTCCTCCGTAGTTGCTGGACGGCTAACCAAAGGCAGTGCACCTCTGGAGGTCTGAAACCATCAGTGGCTCCTCATGATGGGCAGGCAGAATGGTGGGCAGTGTCCTCCCAACAAGCTTCACGACCTAGGAAACCCAACAGAGGGTCACCAGGAGTCAGGAGCAACCTGACAACAGTGAGTCGGAGTTGAGAAAGACAAATTTGAAAGGACTGTTGTATGAGCGAGAAAACTGTTTAAAAGGGATATATGATTAGGTATTATTGTCATGACAGGAGTCTAGAACAAAGGCTGCATAGTGGAATGGACCTGGGGGGAGGGATTGTATAACAAAGAATTTTTCTTTTACTTTTCAAAGAAAAGAGTGTACTGGGGTGGAGGGTATGAGCAGGGAGAAAAGTGCAACAATGACTGAATGGAAATCTAAAGCCTCTGTAAATTTTTATTAAAATGAATTTAAAAAAAAGTAAAAAACAAAAAAAGAAAGGACTGGTGTGAGACTAAATGAGAAAATAAATGCAAAGTGTTTGGTGCTGTGGTGACAGAGAGGGGGTACATTATTCAGGATGACGATTTGGGGAATGCAAAGCCAGACTGCGCTCTGGTGTAAGGCCCACACAGTCAGTTCCAGAGAGTGTAGAACCCACTGCAGAAAACACCTCAACTGTGTGAGGGAGAGCTGATTCTCATTCACGGTGAGTAAGACAGGCCAGAAGGAAGTAACCCAAGGCTATACAGACGCAGACTGCCTCGGGGACGCTGATGATTTCCAGCTGCTGGCTCTTCATTTGATCATCAGCAGCTGAGTGTTTAAACAATGCACCACCACGGTTCCATACAGAACCCACTGCTGACCACCACAAACAATCTATAGAGATTACAGAAAAGTGACAGCCAGTTATGCCCTTGGGCTCAGACTTAGTGAGGCTGTGACAATGTTTGCAAACCTTGCACTGTGCAGGCTTCCTTGAGTGAGACTTTTTCATGAACAGAACCGCGCTGCTGTGATGGTGTGAGGGATCAGGCCTGCAGGGATCCCCACAGGGATCGTGTCCCATTAGCTAAGGAGAGACGTGCGAGGGGGACCAGCAAAGACTGCGCCATCCACTGGCTCTGTTCACTGCCACATAATCACAGACTTCCTTTCTTTATTTAAAATGATTAAAGTCCTCTTTACCACGTTTTCACACAAATAAAATGAAAATGAGATACGCCCTTCCCTACCCAGCCAAAAACCACAACTCACAAAAATCAAAATTAAAAAGAAATTACATTAAAAATTAAGGGGGAGCTCTGGTGGCCTAGTGGCAAGGAGCTGCAACTACAATCCCAGAGGCGCACGGTTGGTTCGAATCCACCAGATGCTCTGCCGGGGAAGGAGGGACAATCTCCTCCTGTACCAGTCAGATCTGATTTGACGGTACACGCACACAAAAATAATAAAATAAATTAAAAGAAAATCCCTTGGCCTTGTTGCTAATAATGTTCATTCATAAATGAAGCAAGCCCATGTAGCTATCTACAGTAAGCTTCCACATGTGGTAGCAAATAGAATATTCTGGGTAATCACATATGGTAAATAAAGGTATGATAAATGCCACATGTAGAAATATCAGGTGGTCCCATAAAAGATAAGATCATGGACTGCCCAGAAAATAAACAGGTCTGTCTGGGAGTTGGTGAAACCAAGTTTCTCTTTGGAGACTAGGATTTTGAAGCTCCATCTCACATACTTTGGACAGGTGGCCAGTAGCAATGTCCTTAGAGAAGGACATCATGCTTGGAAGGGTGGAGAGACAGCGCCGGAGAGGAATGAGAGAGATTGACACAGTAACTGGGCCAATGGAGGTACATGTGTCGGAATTAGTGAGACTGGCTCAGGACAGGGCAGAGTTCAGAGCTGTTGTGCATGTGGTCGCTATGAGTTGCAAGCGACTCGATGGCACCTAACAACATTACATTATTATCAGTGACTTATACTATAATCCCTCATTTAGTTGTCGGAACAGATTAATTCATCACAGGTTTATTTTGCTTGCTCTTCACAAGGTTAATAATGTCTGACAGATGAGGAGTTTCCTGTCCCTTGTAAGGGTCCTGAGAAGCCAGTAATGTCATGTTAACAGAATGCAGAGGTCACCAGTCTCTATGTATCTTCTTCAAAGCCATTAAACTCACCATTCTTTTTACGTCTTTTAATTGAGCCATCTGTGTAGAAAATGAACAAGCAAATTGCTTTTATTTTCTATTAGATTTTTCATCTTCCTACAAGAGCTCTAGTGGCTTACTGGTAAGGAGTGCGTTTTTGTCCCAAAGTCAGGCAGTTCTAATTCATCAATTGCTCCACAAGAGAAAGATGGGCTATTTCCTCCTGTCAGATTGACTGTCTCTGAAAACCTGCTGAAGGGTCAGCTATGAGTCAATTTCTACTCTATGGTCCATAACAACAACAACAGTAAGAAGCCAAAGTTGGATTGCAGTTGATTCCAACTCACAGTATAGTGGCCCTAAAAAACACGGGATCCTAGCCTGTCATCTTCATGGGAGCTGGTCTTCTTTCAAAATGGAGTGGCTGGTGGGTTTGAACTACTTATCTATTGCTTAGCATCCCAATTCTTTCTCCCTTGGAGTGGTAGGTGGATTAGACTTGCCAGAGAGCTGCCACCTTTGGGTTAGATGTGCAAGTCCCTATGGACTTCACTGCTAGAGTGTCCAGGGAGAGAGGTGAAAATGTACTTCTAGAAACACAACCATCACAAACTGTCACTCTGAGAGTGTAGCTGGATGCTTCTCCCAAGGTAAAGCCCAGACTTGATCACACAGGTCCAGGAGGAAGGGAAAAACTCACCATTTCTGTGATTTCAGCAATGTCCTCTCTGTGTTCCCAGCTGGGAAACATATTGGTGAACGTAAGGGGTTCCAGACCAGCATGGATTAGGTATGACTTGGGCGGAGGCTTCTTGATATTTTTTCCTGTGGTTACAAAGAACACAAAGTTGAGTGGACTCTTATTTCCTTTAAAATCTTTTTGCCATAGTTTATAACTTCTGACTGGATGCATAAAGTTAGGTACGAGTTGTTGTTGTTAGAGTCACTTGTAACTCATAGCACCCCTATGTACAACATCTCTGAACCCTACTTTATGGCTCAACTGTGTGCCAATCTTATTATCTCTGACACACTTACCCCTGTGGCCACGTCACTGAATCAGTCCATCTCATCAAGAGTCTTCCTCTCTTGCACTGTAACATGGGTCACTTCTGTACAAGATTACATTTTATATATGCTGCTGTATAAAACGCCTTTTTATACTCAAACCTCAAACTCATTGCCACTGAGTGAGAACTGAATCACAGCTGACCACCCAGCAGGTTTCCAAGGCTCTAAGTGATGTAACAAGAGCTTGCCTGTTTTTCTCCAAGGGTAGAATCGACCCACCAGAGAGACACTGCCTTTGGGCTAGCAGTGCAACTCCCTATGGACTATGCCAGCAGAGCTTCTTTAACTTTATACATGTTAAAATAACAATAACTCAAATCAAGTCAGTTTCAATTCATGGCTAGACCCTGTTTGTTAGGTTATAACTGTTGCCGGATGCCATCATGTCGATTTCAACACATAGCAAAACACAGCACAGAGTTTCCTATGCTGTACTCTTTATGGAAGGAGCTCTGGTGGCTTAGTGGTAAGGAACTACGCCATTAATGCAAAGGTATGTGGTTCAAATCCACCAGTTGCTCCACAGGAGAAAGATGAGCAATCTCCTCTTATGCAATTTACTGATTGTGAAAACCCTTTGTTGGGTCAGCTCTGTGTTGGCTCCCACTCAATGGCACACAGTAACAACAACACTCTTTATGGAAACTGAGCAGTTGGTAAGTTTGAACCTGTTGGTTATTACATTAATTTTTAATCATTATAGGTTGGAATCTGCTGGTTAGAAGCTCAATGCTTAACTGTTATGATGTTATGCTTAAGTGTTTAAAAGGGATATGTGATTAGGTATTACTGTCATGACGGGAGTCAAGAATGAAGGCTGCACAGTGGAGTGGACCTTGCGGGAAGGGATTGAATAACAATGAAAGAATTTTTTCTTTTACTTTTCAAAGAGAAAAGCAAACTGGGGGGCAGGGGGTGGGCAGGGATTAAAGTGCAACAATGAATGAATGGAAATCCAAAGTCTCTGTAAATTTTCATTAAAAGAAATTTTTAAAAAATCCCCAAACAATTCTGAGTTTTCAGCGGCTGATTTTTCAGAAGTAAATCACCAGGCCTTTTTTCTAAGGTGGTTCTAGGTGGAGTCAAACCTACAAACTTTGGGCTAGCCGCCAAGAATGTTAACTAGGGCCAGGGCCACTCAATTCCTAGATCCTCTGCTGTCTGAACCTAACACAATGCTCCTGGGACCTGGGAAGAAGAAGCCTCTCCCTGTGGTTTCGGGTGGAGTCTTTCCTCCAATTTCTGCATAGCTGACTGAGCTCATTGCAAATCACCAGGGTAGAGAGCAGCAGTTTTTAAGTGTTTTTTAGCATAAACATTTGATGGGAAGTTTAATATATTATTTATCAAGGGAAAGCTTTTCAAGAGGCAAATTGCAGACATTCAGTAGCATTAAACTGTGAAACTTTAATATAATTCAGATAAGAAATGAATGACGGGTAGCTTCATTTTGTTAAAACGACATTTTAGCTGGACAGTTGAGCTAAAAACTGGCAATTTATTATTCTATCTTAGAGGCAATACGAAAAATAATGCTGATGTTGTTCTTTATTGTCCCTGAGTTGGAATTGACTCATGGCTGTCCTTCCAGTTGGTTTTCAGAGATTGTAATTTGCTCAGGAGGAGAATGTCCATCTTTCCTTCCTTGGAGCGGCTGGTGGATTCAAACTGCCTACCTTTTGGTTGGAGGCACAACTCCTTATCCACTAGACCACCAAAGTTCCCTACTAAAATTAGTAATAAACAATACAAAGGTTTACACTGGCTTTTTAGCTAGTTCTGGGAGATCCTCTTTTTCCTGAATGAAGACAATGCTCTCTGTGGAACCCCCCCTGTCCCCCTGCATTATTAATCCTGAGGGTAAAAGGGTTCTAATATGTTCAGGGCATGCTACCCTACAGCCTTTGACATGGAGGGTAACAAGGGAGACAGCCTCATAATAGAAAAGCGAAAAGCTAATTCTCATTCATTCTGGCAGCCAAGAATTCACTAATCTCAAAATTAATAAACCTCTCAAAATGAGTGAATGGGGAAAAATTTGTTTCCTCACTGTCTGCCAGGCATTATTAATGCTGACTGATGCACTCAGGAATGAAAAAGGCTGAGGAAAGAAATGGCCTGGGATTTGGACCAAGCCTTCAGGAAACCAAGTTGGTGCTTCAGCTTCTAGGTGGGGGCCTGGCACACAGAGTATGCTTGAGACTGGCCTGGAGGGGTACTGGCTCCAAGCTCTCCCCCTAACCCACTTCCTGCTGCCTTGATTGTGTAGGGTCCTGGCTCTCCACTCGTCCCCATTCTGTTTCTCATCTACACACAGGGTCCAGTCTCGCCTGGCTGCATGGACTAAGGATCCTGACTTTCCAGCTCACTCCTAGCTCAGTCCTCCTGGAGTCTGAGAGTGCCCCCAGCCCACTTCTGGTGCACACCTGGCTCTTGGCATCTGCACCCTCCCAAGGCGCCTCACCTTTGCAGTACTGGAGCACCGTCTCCATGGCGCTCTTCCGGTCAGAGGCCCAGCGAATTCGGGCTGACCCTGTGATCTTGTTCTCAATGGGCCACCAGCCTTGCCAGAGGTACACTTCATGGTGATTGTCAACAAGGAACAGTGCTGAGAGGACAAGGGCAGAATTAGACAGTCAGCATCCTTCACGACACTTGTAGATCACACTCTCTCTTCCTTCCTACAAAGATGGCAGCAGGGGTAGTCCCCTTGGCTGTTAAATTCAAGGTTAATGGGACAAACGGAAGGCTTCCATGATACCTAAGTCCTGTGAAAATTAAGCCAGGAGAAGCCACCAGCAGAGAGAGCTATTTGATGAGAGACTCATATTTCAGTGATACTAAGATAATCAATAAAATCTTGAAAATTCACTTAGAAATCAATCGCCTGCACCTTCATTTTATTTTCTTTTGTTAAGTGTTATTGAGTATGACTCATAGCAATCCTGTGAACAACAGATCTGAGCCCTGTCCTATCCTGCGCCATTCTCACAATCTGACACACTCAAGCCCACTGCTGTAATCACTGTCAATCCATCTTGTTAACAGTCTTCCTCTCCTTCACTGTCCCTCCACCTTTCCAAGCATCATATCCCTCTCCAATGAATAACCTCCCCTCCCTACAAATTTCAGACTCATGACATAGGAAGAGGTGTGAACATATTCTGGCTTATGAATTGAATTGTGACCTCCTTGAAAGTGATGATGAAGTCCTAAGTCTGTACTTGTGTTTCCTGGTTGGAAAGATGGGTTTCCACTGTTAAGTTAATGAAGATACAAGGGAGGAGGTGTGTTCGGAACCTAACTTCCCTTTGAGTGTTGTCTTTGAAAAGAACAGTGCACGCACACATACACGTGCGCGCGCGCACACACACACACACACACACACACACACACGGAAAGATCATGTAAGCAACCTTCAAGTAAGCAAGAAATGCCAAGGAATTCTCAGGCTACTGATAATGAAGGACCTGTCCTTAGAGGGAGCTGTGCTCAACCATTTCCTAACCAACACATTTGGGAAAGACAGTAACAGATTCATTATTTCTTTTACTTATTATTGCACTAACAGCCTCATTATTTCTATCTCTTTTTTTGGTAAATAAATTAGAATAAAATTTAAATAAAAAAATAATAATGGATGATTGGAATGCAAAAGTTAGGGACAAGGAAGAAAGATCAGTAGTTTGAAAGTATGGATTTGGTGACAGATATGAGGCTGCAGATAGAATGATAGAATTTTGTATAGTCAATTGATTTTTAGATGATATGATCAGTTACTTATTTTAAATGAACATTTTGTTGAAGACCTATAATACTCTTTGATTAAAATTATGAGACCATACGTCGTTTTTAATATAAATGATGGAGAAATTATGTTTAGCTTGTAACATTCATTTAAAACTTTTTGAACAGTACAGCTACATAGCCTGAGTTACAACTCAAACACTGTGATTATACTAATGTACTCATTAATTAAGAGAACTAAAATAATTTTCATTTTCATGATTCTTAGTGTATTTAACTTGTAAAAATGTTGATTAACAAACCTAATGTGTATGTGAGTTGCGTGGGTACTTGATTAATTCTCTACAGATGATAGATACTTTTTCCTGAATTAAGAATTTCTACAACATATTTCATATTTGAAGCTTATTTTTCATGATTTCTTTTACTATAATATGTTGATGACAGCACCTGCCTTTTGGCATAAGTATAAAGATTATATGAAATAATAGAACACAACGATTTGACAGAATATCTGACAGAAATAACCTAATACGCACTCAAGTAAAACACACTTTTCAGAAAGTGTATCTTCATCAGTTACTCCTCCTGGGCCTCACCTGGCTGTGGTGCGCTATACAGATCTTCCTGCAGGAAGGGCATAGAGTTGACCACAGAGGGGTCCCGGGCGGGATACATGAATTCTGTGGCCGCAAAGTCGCCAGAAGAACTACTCAGGATGAACAGGCGGGGTGTGAAGTTAAAATTTCCAGGATCTTTAAAAGAGAACAAAGACAAAAAAGTATGCATCAAAGTAAATTCCAGATGGACTGAAGAACTAAAGAAAAATGTGAAACATACACAAAAAAATTAGTAGAGTAATTGGTAGGAGTTAGCTAAGCTTGGAGATGGAGAAGTCCTTTTTAATCATGGGAGTAAAAGAATGAGAACAGACTTATTGACTATGAGAATGTTAAATGAGTTAATCGATAGATGCTATTTAACACTGCCTGACTCATTGTGACTGCTTAATGTGTTAGCTTTTCTTCTTATGTCAATGTGAAGTTCACACTAATGAATTGTACTGTGGTGGTGCAATGGTTCAGTGCTTGGCGACTAACAAAGAGGTTGCACTTCAAAACCTACCAGCTACTACATGAGAGAAAAAGGCTTGGCGGTCTGCTCCTGTAACAATCACGGTCTTGGAAACCCTTGAGGGGCCATTCAATTCTGTCCTATCAGCTCCCTATGATTCTGAATCTACTTGAATGGAACCCAACAATGCTGATAACAGTGGTCATTATCTCTCTGAGCCAGGTTGATGGCTTCAATGGACCCTGTAAATCCAAAAAAAAGATTTGATTCCCTCCCCTGCTTCCTATTCCAATACCCAAGGACTACTACTTTCTTACATGGCTGTGATTAGGGCAGAAATATAACTGAGATGTCAACCAAGCTGAGTCCCTATCACCCAGGAAGGTGATATCTTTCCCTAAACTTGTGGCCTAGTGGTAAGAACCTGCTCTGCAATCCTGAAGGTATGTGGTTTGAATCCACTAGCTGCTCTGTAAGAGAAGGATGGGCATGGCAAGCTCCTTCTATGTGATTAATTGCCTCTGAAAATATTCTGGAGGGTCAGCTATGTGTTGGTTCCAACTCAAAGAAGCTTTTCAAAGGAGTCCTGGTGGCACAACAGCTAAGTGCTTAGTTACTAACTGAAAGGATGGCAGTTGAGTGGCTCTGCAGAATGACCCAGTGATCTGCTTCTATGAGAGACAGTCAAGAAAACCCTACGAGGCAGCCTGCTTCTCTCACATGGTATCTTGATGAGCCTGAATTGACTCAATGGCTTTGTGTGTGTAATAATCAAACGGCGAATGGACGCCTTGGTGCCCACATTACAGCAGCCCAGTGGAAGAAAAACAAAGATAAAAGGCTCACCAAACTAAATTCTAGAGAAATTAAAGAATTACTGTAAAATATGAAGTAAACATTCTGTTGTTAGTTATTAGGTTAGCAAGAGCCCAGTATTACAGAAGTAGATTTTTTTTGGAGGGGCCATGTTATCAGGAGGGAACCAGTGTCATGGAAAAAGAAGTAGATGGCCAGCAAGAGAGGAAGAGCAAAATAAAATAAAAAAGAGGAAGAGCTTCATCAAGCTGGGCTGATACAGTGACTGCAACAACGTGCTTAATCACAACAGGACTGTGAGGATGGCAAAAGATTGGGCAAAGTTTCATTCTCCTGTAGTCAGGGGCATCTGATGGTACCTAACAACAATAACAATTTGAAAGAAATAACCCTAAGAGAAAGAATATTTACTTATCTTGGGAGTGGGGAAAGACTTACATTGTTGCTGTTGTTGTTAGGTGTTACTGTGTCGAGTATGACTCACAGTGACCCTATGAACAGCCATTCTGAACCCTGCCCTATTCTGTGCCATCCTTACGATCTCTGACACTCTAGCACCCATTGCTGCTGTCTTTGTGAAAGCCATCTCATTGGGGTCTTCCTCTCCTTCACGACCCTCCATCTCCAAGCATGATGACTCTTTCCAAAGCAGCAAAGCAGGCTGCGGGGGCAGCTAGTGCTAGCCTCTCTGCACGTGCATCCTCCAGTGACCGCTTTACTCTCTATCTGCTCAGGGGCCCCTCCAGTGACTGGATTTTCCTCCCTCCCTCCTTCCCTTCATTATTCAGGAAGCTCTTGTGCTGTACGTCATAGGGAGTTGGGCTGCTAATGCAAAGGTCATGCATCTCTGATGGTTCAACTCCTCCAGCAGCTACGAGGAAGAAAGATGCCTTGGGATCTACAGCCTAGGAAACCCACCGGAAGCTGTGATGGGTCAGTTACAACAGCAGCCTTGAATTTTCTTCATTATTCAATTTCTCAAACAAGTCAGTAACCTTCTTCCCTTTTTACCTCCTCACTGGTCACCATGACCTCTTTTGGTCTAACCCGTCATTCATTCACTATGGCTTCTACAGAATTAATAATGTGCTTAATAAGGATGCATTAGATAAATTAGTAGTTGAATATTTAAAAAGATGAAGGGATGTGAGGTCCTGTTACCTTGAAGCATACAGTCATAGGCTTTTCTATCTCTCCTTCCTAAAGCGTCCCAGAATCCTAGTGGCTCCGAGCCTTCCTCACATTCGTGTATTGTCACTTTGCTGCTACTGTGGAGTCCTGCTTCCAGGGGGCACCTGCAGGAAAGAAACTCCAGTACTTTATAAGCCATGCAAATGTCACCATAGCACAATATCCTTTAAGATGCAATCAGTGTATTATCCCTTTCCTTCACTTTCTGATGGAATGAGTGGAAAATGCTGTACAGTTTATGAGTTCAGGGGTAACTAGAATTGCTCTTATGGAGGAACGTATGGTTCTATGGAATGAAAGCAGCATGAATTTTCGTTTATCTCAGTCCATATCTACTGTTCCTTGTCCTCTCCTGCTGGGATATAAGTTTCCTAAGGGCACGGATGTGGCTGTTTGCTCATCATCTCCAGCGTCTATAACTGTGACACACAACGTGTGCTCAATAAACATTTGGTGAAGGAATAAATGAATGAATATATGACTGATTACCTCTTTGCTACTTCCTCTGTGCTCCCTGTGAAAAATCCCTCATCTCGTGGAGCCCCCTTCATCATCCCTTCCAAATGACAAAGGAGCTGTGAAGTATGCTGTGCTCATGAGCTAAATATCAGAGGTTCAAATCCACCCACCACCCCTTGGGAGAAAGATGAGCAAGCAGCCTCCTCCCATTAAGATGTATAGTCTTGGACACTCGATGAAGGGTTAACATGAGTTGGAATCTATTCTATGGCATAGGGTTCCCCTGAGTATCAAACTATCTCCCCCACATTCCACCACAAATAATGCTGTTTGAACATGAAACAGTTTGCTTCAAATGTACCTGCCTGGTGGAAGGGCAGCTTTCCCTGCTCCTTTCAGTCCTGCCCGTGAGTGCTGGGCTTAACCGTGCCACACTGCACTGTTCTGCCTGCTGGAGAATGGTTTCCACCAAATCTTACTTTAGTGGAGCACTGTGCTCTTGACAAATCATACACTTTTAGTGTACAGGTGTCACCAAAGTCCTTCCAGATCTCAGTATGAAAAAAAGGATAAACATTTTCTGAATAACTGGCTGACACCAGGATTGCTCTGATGGCATCTGTCCCCATCCTGCACAGCAGTGAAGAGCCATGTCTGCAGTGCACGTGTAGGGAGGTGCTGAGATTACAGTGTGTCTCTGGAATACTACGCTTTACCTAGGCTTCATACTTCTCCTGACTTGTTTTATTTTCCCTTTAAGTTATTCACTCACTGTCATAGCACACTTAGCTTTTATCTCCATAGAGTCCCAAGCCATGGGGCTGACGTCCCCACCATCTGGTGAGCTGTGGCCAGAACTGTCCCGGAGATTACTGTGGTCCACCTTTCGAACTGGTGGTTTCATAAACTCGTTTTCAACTATATGGTTTTTTTGCCATTCTACTCATCTGACAAAGCTCTGAATCCTTAAAAGATAATTGAAGCTTGCCTTATTGAATATGGTGGCTCGGGTGGTGTGGTCTCTATTGCCTTGCTCACCCAAAGGCTGAGCCTATCTGGCAGTTCAAATCCACCAGCAGCTCTAAGGAAGAAAGATGGGCAATCTCTTCCTGTGCAGAAACTGACAGGAGAGTCAGCTACCAGTCAGTTCAACTCGATAGCAATGTGGATTTTGCCATATTGAATATATATATTAAAGAATATGAGGCTTATAATTCAAAAGAGGCATTGTGTCTGTAAAGAAAGAGGAGATAAGAGAAAGTACTTGTTGAGGTCATTTTGCTGCCTTCCATGCTGCCTCTTATTGTTTTTTCTGTGAGCAGATACATCTTCAAAAAGCCCTGCTTTTGGGGAGTTTGGCAGATACACATGCTTCCTTTCACAGGACACATCAAAGGTCTGAGGCCTCTGACGGTATTTGTTGAAGTCAGCTTAAGTATACACAGGGCTTTCACTGGGGACTTGGAAGTCCTGTCAGTTAAAACCTGTTTGAGTTTTGCAAAGCACAATGTTTAATTTCAAACAGCATTTCTGGGAGTGGTGAGTGGAAGTGAATGAAGGCATAATAAATGAAGCTCAAATGGGGTTTCCAGGGACCGTTCACTGGGAAGGCCCTGTGTCAGGAGAGCTGACGACAGATATACAATACTCACTGTTCCTTTATTTTATTTGCTGCAGTTCTTCCCACCTCCTTTGTGTGGGCTTGTGCTTTGCATCCATGCCACAGGTAAATGAGGGCTTTATTTACATTGAGAACGACCATAGACGTCCTGGATCTCAGGCTACTGCAGTGACACGCAACTTCTAGCAAATTTCCTTCAATGGGCACTTCTCCTCGCACACAGTACAGCCTCCATTCACCTGCAGGGGGCGCGAGCGCACAGAGTTAGGATGACCCGCATCCATAGGGAAGGTTGCCCTTCTAGATCTCAGCTGTCACCTGCCACCAAATGTCATGCTCCCTGAATGCAGAGCCGCAACAGGCTGTGCCACACACAACGCCGCGCTGAGCACAGACAGCGCCCTGCCTAATCGGCTTTCCAGAAGGCAAATCCTTTCGAAACTAGGAGCAGGTTGCCAAAAGTGCAGGAAAATGATTTTTTCACAAAATGGATGAAATACTTTGTTAAGCGATGTAACAGGCTCTAAGTGAGGCTGGTATAAAAGAGGCTCTAAAACTAAGATATATTGTTAGTTGGAACCTGGTCTATGAGAATCCTATGCTTTATAATAGAAAATCCACTGATTTAAAAAATTTCCCCTAAAAAAGAATAGGCAGAGCCATTCAGTTAAAGATAATCTTCCAGCGTCATTTGTGCAAAATTAGATCTCAAAGCCTGCTCCGCTGGGACTGCGCACTCCCCATAAAGCTGATTTACAAGGCCGACATTAGGTGGCTTTCAGGGAAAGCCACAGTATATGAAGAGAGACTCATTAGAAGGCTCTTGCCTATAAAAATACCTTCCAGGAATGGGGGGGAGGTGGGATCTATTTCCAACAGTAAAAGTGATTTATTTACTTTGCGTATTTTCTTCTTCTTCTTCCCGGCGGCCTGAGTGCACCACCATTCCTCCCTGAAAGCACTGCAGGAAGCAGGGGGGCTCCTTCCCCTGAAGGACCTGGACCTGGACATGGAAATGCGTTGGGGAAATGAGCATTCCTTGGGTTTTCAATACATGCCTATCAAAGCAAAACTGGAAAATATTGAGAAGTACAAGCAAACACCAAAGAGAATCCCACCATGCTCATCTTACAACTGATATGTCCTTGGGTACAGTAGTCTCCCATTCAGGCTATTTTTAAATGAATATTTTTTTTTCCTAAAACAAAATTAAGATTGCTGTGTTATGTTCCTTTATGCCCAGGCTGTCTTTGTTTATGTTCCAATTTTGTTATTTCAGTGGTATCCTATTGTACAGATCCGGTAGTGCTGCTGTCAAGTTTCAGGTGTACCCTAAATGATATTAGCGTTGACTCAATACACTCTCACTTGACAGGAACATTTCTCTTAAAAGGGAAACTGTTTATTCATGCAAATTGGCATCTAACATATCTATGCTTTTCTGTCATGCTTGCTTAATCTATTTTTTATATCCTAAAAGGGACTGATTGAAGGTGTACCATACAGTAATCCTGCCTCATCAATAAAAGAGGATCTCATACTCAAACGGAAACATAGCCATAGGCACAGAGGTTAGACTTTACAACGTATATTTTGGAAAGGCAAAATTCAATCCATAACAGGTGGGGAGCACTTGTCACCTGGAGTTAATCTATCCATCTCAGATCTTATTTTTCACAATCAAGTGGCATTTTGAGTTAGTGTTTTAAATACCTACAGTGATTTCCCATCTGTTGGACTGATGATTGTGGCTCAAATGTGAAAGCTGACACTGAATACACGATTAAATATATTCATTCATGTTCTTCCAATCAGATAAGATAGGCTTTATCAGAAGTAAAAAAGTATTTATCAGAAATAAAAAATAAATAAAAGGGCAGTAAAAATTACTCATAATTAGAAATAAAAATGTATTTGTTGCTCTTTTAAAAATACTATCTGTGGTAAAAAAAATAAGCATTTATTCATAAATACAACTCAACAACCAACACATTGTTGACAAGTAGGAACCTACTCATAGCTGACCTTTCACTGGGTTTTCCAGGCTGTAAACCACATGGGAGGAGACTGACCATCTTTCTCCCAAAGTGGATTCAATCCAAGCACCTTTGGGTTGGCAGCACAATTCTCTACACACTAGGCTAGTTCTTATGCTCTGGAGGTAAGAAGCTGCAATGCAATCCCAAAGGCATATGGTTCAAATCCAACAGGTATTCCATGGAAGAAAGCTGGACAATCCCCCCGTGTGATTAACTTCCTCTGATAACCCATTGGAGGGTCAGCTATGAGTCAGTTCTGACTCCCACGGCATGTAATAACAGTCTCAATTTATGATGAAGTTCAGGTCTGATGACTTTGTGACAAATCAGTTCTTTTTTTTTTTTTTAGTTTTACAGCCTGCTATACAGCCGTATTTTGAGTAGTAAATCAGAATACTAAACATCTGTGAATGAACATCTGAGATTGATAACATCAGCAAATTAGAAGCTGCAACACTGTACGTTGTACATCCTACTAATGAGAAGATGAGAACCATACGGTAGCTGAGAGTGGCTCGTCATATGTTACAAATTGAAGACTACCTGTATTTTTTAGGGAAAGAGAGGCTGAGTCTTGAACTCTGGAAGGCTTCTTGGGAATAATTTGTTTTTGGAGAAAATTTCCCTTTGCTCTCTTTGTTCAATGCTATTGTTAACCGTTCACTCTAGATAACAAAAATATGGCATCCCAAAACTCCAGGGTCAAATGTTAATTACTGGTACTAACCAGAGGTATAGATTATCAAATGTTAGGAAGAAATGCTTACAAAACCTGGGATTTGGACAGCCATGCCTACCATCAGTATGTAGGCACTGGGGTAAAAAGACCAACACAAGTATATTCCCTTTCATGCTTTTAGGGGAATACAGGTAATACATAAGTGAAATGATATCACCTTGGGCAGTGCTAAGAAAAGACAAAACACAGTAAAGTGACAGAGAATGAAAGGAGGATGGGGAGTAATTTGGATAGGATAGAGAGGCAGCATTTGAACAGAAGCTGAGAGTTTCTTGTGGATCCAGACTGGGAAAACAGGATGTGCGAAGGCCCTGAGGTGGGAGAAAAGAAGTTTGTCTGAGGAGCAGTAAGAGGCTGGAGAGGTTGGTGAGGCAAGGCATGGGACTGTAGAGATGTGCAATCGTCCTGGTAGAATATTAGGGGATAGTTTAGACTGTTTCCAAGTGTGGCAAAGACATATGTTCTAAAAAAATCAACCTGGGCTGCTGTAAGGAAGGGTGGTTGGTGGAACATTCCATAGTAAGGTGCACTCCTAACCCAAAGGTTGTACCTCTTTGGTGGTTCGAATCCACTAATAGCTACTCGGGAGAAAGATGGACAATCTCCTCCTGTGCAATTTACACCCTTGGAAACCCAGTGGACAGTCAGCTATGAGTTGGAACCGATTTGAAAGCAGTGAGTTTGAGCTTGAGTTCTGCTGTAAGGAATGCTTAGACCAGATCGACTGGTGTCAAGTAGATTCTGACTCACAGGGAGTCCACAGGGCAGCATGAAACTGCTCCACATGGTCTATGGAGCAGTGGGGGTTTGAACCACTTATCTTCCATTTAGCAGGTGAAAACTTAACCCCTCCACCACCAGGGTTCCTTGCAAACAATACAGACAGTTACAATACTAATTTTTTACATGGATCTCTTGATATTTCCTTAGGACTGACTTGTGTTAGTTAAAATAGCTAAAGGAAATTCATAGGTATTTTAAGGTTTTTGCACCCAAACTGCTTTCGAGAATGGCTATTGCCCCTTCTCTTTTGTCCTGATGAAGCAGCTTTTCCTGGGGTCTTACCTGGGCTCCCCTTTCCTCATCCAGCTCCACAGTCATCAGCGCTGACGTCCCCTTCTCGCTCACGGTGGAGTGCCGGCCTTGCCAGAAGAAGTAGACACACTTCTCTTTGCCAGCCACCCTCACCGGATGCTCCCCTTTCTGCCGACTTCCCACTGCAAACAGACCCAAGAGCAGAGCATGAGGCCAGCACGTGATAAACTGGAGGACAAGCAACACGAATGCTCACATCTTCCAAGTCTGAGAGGCACTGTGGGACTTGGGTCAGATGAGAAATCCTTCACAGCAGCGGGAATTTAAATCATCCCTTGGAAAGAGAAAATCCTTGTCTCTTTGAGCTAATGGATTAAGATCTTCCAAACTGGACGAACAGAATCTGAAGGGCCCTCTGGATCTCCTGAGAATAACACCCGTCATCCTTGAAGGAAGTCTGTAGCCCTCTCCCAGTATGTGACAGAGAAAAATGGCGATAAGCAGGACCAAGGGCTCACAAAGATCCACACTCTATCTCCTCCCCAGAAGATTAGCTGCTACCAGCTGAGGGAGACTGATAACAATAGTGGGAGCAGCATCAATCACAAAGGAAAACACTTGAGACTGTTAAAGCGATTCCAGTAAGAAGTTCCCAAGTCCTGTCAGAAAACGGATGCACTGCTGACATAACACGTTCAAAAAAAGAATCTAGGATTTAACTACTATCTGTTGCCAGGCCTGTAGCCTGGATGATTAAGTGCTTATTATCCTCCCTGCCTGGCACCTTGTAGGCGCTCCATAAACATTAGCCGAATGCATAAAGTAAATTCAACCGCTGGCTCTGAAGACTAGTCATGGGAAGTTAATTGGCCAAACTGTGATTTTAAACAGCACTTCAGACCTTAAAATGCGCAACTGTAGGAAAAGATTTAATTCCGGATTTTTTGCCTTCACTTACTCAACATTTACTGAGCCCCTATTCTGTTCTATTATGATTGGACTACAATGAACAAGACAGACGTGGCTGCTGCTCCAGTCTCACAAGAGGAGACAAACAACAAGCAAACACATGAACGAGGTATTTTCTGTTTGTGGTGGCTGCTCAGAAGCACGTGACTCATGTGCGGTGGGGAGGGGCGGCAATGGCCTTTCTGAGGAAGAGGGTATATTTTGAACTGAGACCTGAATGACAATAAATTGAGGGTAGAACCTTCTAGACAGAGAGTTGAGAAACCTAATTCTCAATTCAGTGCTTGGATGGCTCCAGAAAGCGAGAGTGAGCAAATGGGGGATGCAGGTGGGCATGACATCCACACATACTAAAAAAATCCCTAGATTATAGGGCTCCAGGCTAACTCAATTTTTCTCAATCCTAATCTTCTTTACAAAATGACAGTCATATGGAAGTGTGAAGGGAAAAATAAGAAAACTCATTTAAGTTCTTAAGGGGTTAGATTATTCATTGGTCCTCTAATCAGTAAAAGTACTACATAAAAATAGGGGTGAGGGAAATTGGAAGATTCTGTTCTCCAAAACAGAATGTATTCAAATTTTGCAAATAAACTAGTATTTTAAAAAAAAGTCAACTTGGGGAGGGGGAAGGAAAGGAGAGGGGGTAAAATGTGCAACAATGAATGAATGAAAATCTAACTTTCTTGTAAAATTTTGTTAAAATCACAATTAAAATAAAAAAATATTTTTAAAAAGGTTCACAAATAAGGACAATAATTTCATAAGATACTTAGGGTAAGCACAGTCTTTAGTGACATCTACTGTGGATCTGACTAGAGCAAGTCTAAGTGGAGAAAAATGAAATAGGAACCAGCCCTTAAGGAACAGATTACAAACACCTTCAATTTGGAAGCCATTCAAATGAAAATTCTGCTAATTTAGATCTTATCTTTGATAAGCAATCTCATTTTTCGAAGGAATAAAAATCAGTAAAATTAGATTGCTGGGGGCGGGGGAAGAAATATGCTTAAAACAGTGCAGTGCAGTTTATACAAACCTTAAAACTTACTAGCACTCAAATAATATAATTGCTCTTTCATGCATTGTTGTTGCAGTGAGGAGCTCTGGTGGCCTTGCGGGTAGGGAGTTGCACTGTCAACTCAAAGGCAGGTAGTTCAAATCTACCAACTGTCCTGAAGGAAAAAGATGGGCAATCTCCCGTGTGATTTGTAGCCTCTGAAAACCGGCTGGAGGGTCAGCTATGAATTAGTTCAGACTAGCATGCAGTGAGTTCTTGTTGCGTGGGTCAGTACTTCTGTGCTAGCTATGCAGTGACTGTAAATGCTTCAGGGCTGTGCTTTCCTGCTCCCAAGGGACAGCCTGGACTCTGACTGCTTCCTGCCTGAATTTAATTCTCTGCAGCTGGACTTTCCCATAGTTGTAACTTTGCTCATAAAGATAATGCTACATCTGGCTGTGAGATGCTCATTTGGGAAGAAATACAGACAGCATTTGCCTGGGTCACGTCATTAATTCTTAGAGGCCTTCAAGTAAATATTCTATAAAAGGCCTGAGAAAATTTTTATATTTGTGTTAGTATCATTCTGTTCATTTCCTATAATTTCTCCCCAAAATTACAGAGAGGCACAAATATCACAAAATTTCAAACTGTAATGGAACATTTATAAAAACTTACAGTTCCCTTCTGTAATCAAAGACTCTGTGTATGTGGAGATAATTCCTTTAAGTCCCATGTCCTAAACCCCAAGATCAGACGCCCTTCCCTTCCCCCAACTAAATTTCCTATTAGTATTTCTGTTGCCAAGTAGCCATATAGATTATTCTGGTTTGCCCAAGGGTGTACGCCAGATGTGTCCTATCTTCATACCTTTTCAATCTATATGCAGAACAGATTATCTGGGAGGCTGGGCTCTAGGAGGAGAAATGAGGCATCAGGATTGGAGGAAGACTCATCAACAATCTGTGTTAATGCAGATGACACAACCCTGCTTGCTGAAACGGAGGAGGACCTGAAGCGCTTGCTGCAGAGGGTCAAGGACTTCAGCCTTCAACATGGATTGAAGCTCAATATCAAGAAAATATTCTCACCACTAGGCTGATTGGCACTATCATGATCATGAAGAGATTGGGATTGTAAACAGCTTTAATTTGGTTGGCTCCACAATCAACACTCTTGGCACCAGTAGTCAGGGAATGAAAAGACATATTATGTTGGGAAAGTCTGCTATCAGATACCTCTCCAGAGTACTGAAGAGCAATGATGTCAGTCTAGAGACTAAGGTGTACCTGACAGATGCCATGGTCTTTGCAATCCCTTGCTATGTGTCAGAAAGCTGGACAATGACTAGGGATGACAGAAGGAGAATTGATGCCTTTGAGCTGTGGTGTTGGAGAAGAGTATTGAATATACCATGGACTGCTAAGAGAATGAACAGGTTTGTCCTGGAGAGGGTGAAATCAGGCTACTCCTTGGAGCCAAGGATTCTCAAGCTTCATCTGCCATACTTTGGACATGTTGCAATGTGGGGCCAGTCCTTCGAGAGGGATATCATGCTTGGGAGGGTGGAAGGACAGTGCAGGAGAGGATGACCCTCGATCAGATGGATTGATTCAGTGCCTAGGGTAATGGGGGTGGGTGTGTCAGAGACAATAAGATTGGCACAGGATAGAAGAGGGTTTAGGGTGGTTGCAGGTGAATTGACAGAACATAACCACCACCACCACCACCACCACCACCACCATTATATTTCAGATAAGGGTCTTAAGTTAATTCTAGTGATTGCAAATTGCCAGTATTTTATGACATTGTTCTGGTGAACTGTCAAGTCAGAACTGACCCGTAGCTGACAGTCTTGAGGGTTTTCAGATGCAGTAAATCACACAAGAGGCAACTGCCCACTTTTCTCCTGCATGATTTTCTGAAAGCTGAGTGATAATTAAGCATAATACTAGATGCTGCTGCTGCTGAGAATGCCATTTGTGATTATTTCCTGTAGCTACCCTATGACTGTGTGGTAGCCACTTGCATTTTACATGTAGGACTAGAATATTCAGTGGGATGACAACCACGATCCTTACAACTTCAGGCATGTGGCTACTTTTAAATGAGAGGAGGGTGTTCTTAAGGCTTTTGAAAAACCAAGTTTGATGAGAAGTACCCTTGTTCTGGACAAAGGCAATTACGCACCAGGAAGTCCTGTGTGATCCCACAATAGCCTCGGAGCAGAGGCCCTGAGGGGCAGGCCCCCTTCCTACTCAGTGGTAAATGAAGCCGCCTGAGATCACTAGTTTAGTGGTGTGACCCCCACTTGGCTCTGCTGCAGGTTCAGCCAAGAGACTAGGTTTGTCCTCGTGTTCCCCACATCCATGTGAACCCACACTCACTGCCTGCCTGCAGGCAGAACTGATAGTGCTTATGAACGGGTTAGGTTCTGACAAGAAGCAGGCCTAGATTGGAGGTTTCCCAGCTCTGCTCTCTACCAGCTGTGCAACTTCATGCAGGTCATCCCATCTCACTCTTCCTTTCTTCACCTGAGAAATGAGCACAAGGAAAGAATGGGCTTCACAGAGCTGTCTGAGGCCCACACTCAGAGCCGCAGGTAGAACCCTCAGCACCGTGGATTGTGCGAGGCCTGCAGACCCACAGCCCATCTCTGCCTGACCTCTTACTGCTCCTCGGCAGCCCTTCCTGCCCGGAAGGTGGCTCTGACCCCATTCGCTGTCAGTCTGGCTTTACAGGACTCCTCCCACTGCTGTGAGAGACTCCAGCTTGCTGCACGCAGCAGGGGGCACTGTCATCATCTACTATACTTGTCTCATTGCCATTTGCACCATAAGTTTCTCTTCTGGAAAGCAGGATCTGAAAGCTTTATTTAGCCCCTAAAAAAGCTCCTACACAGATTGAGTAAATCTAAGCTGATTCAGTATTTCATAAATCTAAGCTGATTAACAGACTTTATGTTTTTAAAAAATAACTCAAGAGAGAAAACAAAGAGTTACATGTGTGCAGGACTTTGCTGGCTAGTAGCGATGCATGTTTCCAGTAGCTCCTAGGGGCACCACACCTGGAAGGTCATTGAAATCAAAAGCAAAGGCCCTATCTGTCTGTGTCAGGGTTGAGCTGCTCCCTAGGGTTTCACAGCCTTTCTTCTGCAGTCCTGGTGGGTAGGTGCAAACTGTCAACTTTTCCATTACCAACTGAGTGCCGACACTGTGTGCCACCCAGGGGCCTTCTATGGCAAAGGGGGTCTTGCAAGGTAAGAAGCTCTCTTAGAAGCTGTCTCTCAACATCCTCGAGGTGTGATACAAGCCACCCTGGATGGGCAGGGATGAGTGCTGTTGTTTCTCAGCACGTGTAAAGGACTGCACCTGATGTTTATTGCTTCTCCCTCGGTTTCACTGCCTCCACTGCAGAGAGTATATGCTGTAGTGTTTTTGTTATAAAGCACATATCCTCAAATGGGAACCATGAAGAGTTTGGACAATACATTTATTACCCCATAGCCCCGAGCACTCTCAGCCTCGGAGGAAATCACTTTTATTTTTTTCATAAATCTTTGGAGTGTGCATTTCTCCCATAAAGAGTTTCTTACCTAGCATTTTGCTTTGTCATTTGGTTTTGGTTTTAAATCACTCAGATATGCTTTCTTTAACGACTTTAATTTCAGCAGCAGACAGCTGAGGGGTAAACAGAACTGCAGGCAGATCATCTCTTTCACAGAAACCCTCTGGGGACGGGAGAGGGGTGAGAGAGAGGGCAGTACAGAAACCTCAACTCCTGAGTGTATCGCCTAAGAGAAGATATTTTATCTGGGAGAAAAACTAGACTCCTAGGAATTCTACTTTGCATCTTTCAGGCTGTAAGAATTGGTAAGCAATTTTCAAAAAGAAATGTCCAGGTGGCTGTATTGTCCCCATCCAACACAGCAACAGAAAACAGCAACAATAAAATATAACCCAGTTTTGCCTGGAGTCCATGCTAACTCTGTGTGTCCAAGTTTGCTTCATGGGAGTTTTCAGTGGCTGGTACTTTTGGAAGGAAGTCTTTCTTTTGAAACACTCTGGTCTCCTGAACACTCAGCATTTCAGTTGGTAGTTGAGTATGTTAATATTTTCACTGCCCAGGGGATTTCAGAACACAGAAGGTGCTAAATATTCTAACAGACCTGTGATTCCCAAACCCTGGGTGTGAAGAGAGGAAGGCATTCACTAACCTGCAGTGCTCACCATGTACTTCCACTTGACCACATAGGCATCTCCCTCATGGAACTGTCCGATGCTCTGTTTAGGGAGCCTGCTGTAGTCGAACTCCAGGATGTGCCAGACATCCACAGAGACAATGGCGATCTCGAAGTGCCTCCGGTCATCTCCTTCCACCAGCCCATAGCCCCGGCCCACGTTCACCCCATCCAGGATGCTGCTGGCCACCGTCTGGGGCACAGGCACCATCCGGGCCACGTCGTACGGCTTGACATCAGCCCTGGGATCATCCTACCAGGAAACAGGAGAATGTCTGTTCAGTTTCCTCTCACACTCAGTGTTGTTTCAATTGTTTAAGGGCCACTGTAAAAGCTCTGGGTTCCAATTCTGCTGCAGGGTATGTGAGTGATTGCATTGAGAAGAAAGATATAGGAGACTTGAACACCACCCTCCCACCAGTGCACCCGTATTGAACCCATTTCTGGCAGAAGTGGTGCAAATTTCAAAACTGGAAGTGAAGAATCCATCTGGAAGTCAGTTTTAGCAATAAACCCTGGGGAGGCTTTTAGCTTCAAGTCCACCACTGGTGAGATCCAAAGAAAGCTTCAAATACACGCCTTAAATAAGTTACCTTCTGCTGGCTGAGTTCCCCAGCATTCTTCTCATTTGGTTTCTTCAGTTCTGTCCAGTCAAGAAATTTTTCTTTGAACAAAATTGTCTCATTGTGCTCAGTAAGTCTTCCAAATATTGCCCAATCAGGCCGCCCTTGTCCTTTTCTGTAAGAGAATGGAGGAGTTCAAGATAAAAGTAAAAAAAAATATTAAATTATGCTCTGGTGGCCTTGTGGGTAAGGAACTGTGCTGCCAGAACAAAGGTAAGGCGGTTCGAATCCACCAGCTGCTCTGTGAGAAAAAGATGAGTAATCTCCATAGTACGATTCATAGCTTCTGAAAAATCCACAGAGGGCCAACTTTAAGTCAATTTTGAATCCATGGCAATGATCTGACTTTTGAATAAACAAAAGAAAAGGGTTGTAACACAAGGTTGGCTACTGGGGGATGGGGTTAAAAAAAATCCACTTCAAATATTTACATGGTTTATAGAATGGATAGTTTATTTTTACTTGTTTTACCAAGTAATTTATATTTTATTATTTTAGCCCAAAACCCTGTGACACCTTGTGTCCATGGAGTTTCTGTGCCTGACGTTAGTATGAACCCTATCAGGCCCAGACTTTTCTTGTATTCTAGCAAATTCTTATTAGGGGGATCCCCTAGGACTGGCATACTAACAATTCACACTGGGGTGTTCACAAAGTTTTTGGGGATTCAAGGAAGAGGAACTCCCCCTGACTTCTTAATTTCCAATCACATCACAGTGAGGTTCTCCTGGGTACCAAGATTCTCTCATGAATTACTAAAATGCACTTATTTTCATGTATCATGCAGTGAGTTTTTAAACAGGTCACTAGGCACAAGAGCAAGTACAGAACACCAAGGACAGTGCACAGCCCAACTGAAGTCTTCTCTACACTATCTCAGTATTTTAGAATCTGGAACCATGCCTGGGACACAGATGAATTTAAATAATAATAAAGGCACAGCTGGAAAAACTGCATTACATAGACATTAGGGACCTCAGGTGGCCTAGTGGGTAAGGCAGGCAGTAAAAGATGTATAACGTCTTCCTGTGTGATTTACAGCTTTTGAAAACTAGCCGGAAGGTCAGTAATAAGTGGGTTCCAACTTGATGGCATATAACAACGTCATACAGAAATGATAGCCATGAAAACCAAGTGCATATATCCCTCACCTTTCATGATTAGTCTGCTAATTGGGAAAGGAGGAAGCATCGAGCCTCAACAGCAGTGGCTTTGGTTTTATATAGTACACTGATAGTTAATTAATAAAAATATTTTTTAACACCAGTAAACTAGGAAGGAAAGTTGAAACTTCTATATTAGATTTATGGAAAATATGAAAATGTAATTGTATGTTGTGGCAGCTTTTAGAGGCGAGTGCTTTTTCAATCTTGTGTTTGACATGAAGGACTACTCTGTCTCCAGGAGCAAGGCAAGCCAGGTTTGGCCTAGCGTCTAAGGCAGGAGGGGGCTTTAAGCCCCAAGGGGAGAGGGGAAAGAAGGTGGCCATGTTCTCCCTGGTTTGCTCCGCCCAGGGTTGCTGTGACCTGGTTGCCAGAGAGAGCTTGGTGCTATGTGCACAGGTGTTGTGGCAGCTTTTGGAATCGAGTGCTTTTTTGAGCTTGTGTTTGACATGAAGGACTATTCTGCCTCCAGGAGCCAGGCAAGCCAGGCTTGGCCTAAGGTTTAAGGAATGTGGGGACGTTAAGCCCAAATGGGCCCTCGGGCCTGCGGCCCTCAAGCCACGTTCAAACTGTTTTTCTATCAAACATTCTTCTAGGGTATATAGCACTGGTATGTGCATTCCTATACAGAGGTATCTTGTGGTTGCTGTGATGCTGAACGCTGATGTGCCAAACGTGGTAATGGTTACCAATGGTGGACAGTGTTGGCTGGAGCTTCCCGACTAAAACAAGCCTGGAAGCAGGAGTGGCATCCACTTCCTAAATGGCTTGCCTCCAGAAACTGTATGTACGAATGGTGCTCAGGCCTTTCGTTCATAGGGTTGCTTATGAGTCGTCTACAACTTGGTGGCACCTAACAACAACAACAACAACAATTGTATGATAGGTAATACTTTGGTGTAAGGAACCCTGGTGGTACAGCAGTTAAGTGTTCACCTGCTACTCAAAAGGTCAACAGTTCAAGCTCAGCAGTCACTTCTTGGGAAAAAAAGAAGAAGCAATCTGTTCTGTAAAGGGACACATGGGGTGCTATACTCAGACCTAGAAGGCCACTCTGAGTTGGAGTGAACTTGATGGCAATGAGTTTATGGTGGGTACATCTATTTCAATCTATTCTATTAAAAGGCATTTCCCCCCTGGTAGTTAAAAATAGTAATACTTCCTATGTATAGAAAAATATTGCTCTTATGCTAATATTTAAATCTTGTCTATATTCTGGTGATTTGCCACATGGCTTTCAAAAGTTCTGTACAATGTAGGAAGTCATTATTTTAATATATTTTCTTTAAAAAAAAAAAGGAGCTCTGGTGGCCTAGTGGGTAGGGAAGTTATGCTGTAAACCCAAAGGTGGTGTTTCTCTGGCAGTCTGAATCCACCAGCTGTTCCACAAGAGAGAGATGAACAATCTCCTCCCATGCAATATACAGCCTCTGATGACCAACTGGAGGGTCAACTATGAGTCAGTTCTGACTGACAGCAATTAGTTTTTATTAAAAAAAAAATAATAAAGGAAGGAAAAAAGAGGCATATACATAATTAACTACAAAAAAAAAACAACAAAAACAAACCCCCCCAAAAAAAAACCCAAAAGGAAAATCCTCAGATCAAGGACTAGGGTTTTAAGGTTGGAAATGAGAAGGCAGCCTGCAGCTCTTGCCCCTTCATTCAGCTCACTGGCTGAATGCCAGACCCTGGGAAGTTTTTCAGATCAGCATGTAATTTGTTTAAACAATTGCTATTCATCTGCCATAAGAACATCTGGAATGCTGCAGGTGGGAACAATTTGTTCACTTCAAGAAATTAAGTAGAATGAAAACACCTTCCAGGAAGCGACAAGCTCCATATTAGTTTGTTACACACTAAAGAAATGTTCCTCTATGTCAATGTTCATGCTACGCTGCATACAATCATTTAGGAAAACTAACAGTGATCAAAAGCAATAGGAAATGACTACTGGGATTTGAGTTGGTGAAAGGATTCTACACGGAACTTACTGGTACTATCAACGCACCTGGGAATAAGGGGATTGCATTCCCCAGGATCCAGTGGGTTGATGTCACAGTTCTCATAGTCAAAGGTCCCATTCCACAGGTGCTTTGCCAGCTGAAATGCAATTTTCCGTTGTGCTAAGGTCACTTCTTTTCCATGCCACACGTAAACTTCACTGCCAAAGTCAAACACCAGTACCTGGAAGAATATGGCAAAAGAATGTGCTGACTTGCAGGAGGTGTGAGAGTGGAATCAGTTGCTGATAAGAGTGAGTTTAACAGGCCAAGGGACAAATCCTAATGCAATGATGAGTTCAAAACCATGAAGGTCACAAGAGCTGCGTGCCAGGCTGAGCCCGGTCAGGCCAGCCTTTGCCTCGTGGTTGATGTCGTCTCCTCACGGTTTCCTATTATGCCCAAGTTAGTGCTCTCTTCTCTGAATTTTCTAGCCATTTAGAATTTCTGATTAATGAAAAAAGGGCTCCTTCCTTACCTTCCTTCCCTCCCTTTCTTCCTTCTTTCCCTCTCTTCCTCCAATCCTTCCTCGTGTGACTGTTGATGCTATTTGCTGCATTGAGTAGCCTCTATGGGGTTGATTTTGACTTCGAGGACCCCATTAATCAAGTCTAACTGTCCCCTAGGGTTTTCTAGGCCTAAATCATCACAGCAGCAGACCACCAGGTCTTTCTTTGAGGTGCCGCTAAGTCAAACCATCAGCCTTTATGTTTGCAGCTTAACCCTTGTGCCATCAGAGCCCCTTCCTCCCTTTCTGATCCCTCATCATTCATTCATTCATAACTTTTACTGAGCACTACTATACACAGGCTAGTTCATAAAGGTCAGACGCTGAGGATCCAAAAGTTCTTCTCTCCTACATACAATTCTAAGGATAGAGATATATACTAAAATCCCTTCAAATAAATTTTGACTCCTGGTAGCCCTCTATCAGGTTTCCATTGCTGTAAAAAGTTAAAGGAAAAGATTGTATATTCGTTCTCCTTTGAAGCAGCTAGTAGTCTTGAACTTCTGACCTCCTGGTTAGCAGTATAGCATGCAGTGTGCTCCACCCTCAGCGTTCCTTGCTTACATGTACAGTAGGGGCTTACTCAATGCACGCAGAATGAGTAGTACATTCATGATATTATTTATTTCCACATTCTTTAGTTCCCAGCAGTCCAACTTCCACTTCACACAAAGGCCAGGTTCAATTTAACATTCTCTTTAAAATTATCCCTGATTACTTTTTTTTCTGCAGTAATATGCAGAATAATTTGCCCCTTTTAAAGGTCCATTTCATATTTAGTCTGTATTCATTGTACCACCTAGCTTTAAATTATACTCTAATAATACCCTTCCTACTTAGCTTGATTGAAGGCTCTATTATGTCTTACACTTTTTTTTTCTCAGCTCATAGAATACTTAATGGTAGTAGAAATGTATATAGTTCAGTGGCTTCACAAGAGAAAGATCCAGTGTCCTGCTCATGTAAAAATTACACAGAAAAACCCGATGGGGCAATTTATCTGTCACATGGAGTTACTAGGAATAAAAAATCCCAACAACAATAATAAATATTGATATAAAAGGAAAAAGCACTACACTGCCATAATTCATGACCATACATTATATAAACACGCATATCTCCTTCCCCAAGGACTAAAAAGTACTTTACTGAGTATGAAAAAGTCAAGAGCTAGGAATACGCAATAGGCACCTTTTGCCTAAATATAATTTTACAGCAATAGAGAAAAGCAGCTAGCCATGATCTGTGTGTCCTCTGAACAATATTCTGAGTTCTATTTAAGTATCTGAGATGGCAGTCCTGGTTTCAAACAGCAAATAAATGTCTTTCCAAAAGGTGTAAGTGTTCCACAGGCAGCGTTAATCCTGGCTAACCTTTACGGAGCACTTGCTATTTATTTTACAGGGCAGGCCCCAGGCCCTTGGCTCCGTGTGTGCTTTCTCAGTGGAGGGCAGAGTCTAACATTGTACCTCTTTCGGTTGCAGGAGAGAACACTTGGGAATTTTCCCCCAGTAGTCATCATCAGGCACAAGCTTGTCATCCATCAAACGGTAAATGCAGTTTGTTTCTATTATGGCTGTTTCATACAATTCGTCTTCTTTGGGGTCTCCAGCAGCTTTGGGTGAGAACACAAGGAGAGTAGGAACACTGAAAAGCGGCTACTTTAGAGGAATGGGCTAGAACAGAAGAGAGAATATCCATGCTCGTTGCTCTCTGTAACGCAGTAGGTTCTTACATTGGTAGCTGGTCTGGCCACCCAGGAGTTTCCAAAAGTCCTTGGCTGCATGGGTGTGTGTATTGATTCCCTCCTCGATAGTCTGGATATAAGTAGCTCTGCATCCGAGTTCCCTCTTTGTCTGAATTAAAGTTGCAAGTTCTGAGGCCTAAGGGAAGAAGGCAATCAAGTGGGTAGAAGAGCTATGGATCAGCGGCCCACGCCAAAACAGTAAGGGAAATACCCATCTCCAATGGAAACCTGGCAGCCATGGGGCTGCAGAACACTGGCTGTGGGGTGTTTTCAACCAAGTTAAGAAAAATGTAATTAAAGACTCAGGGTAAATCAGTTCTTCAGAGAAATGGTTCTCAGTCTTAAAAACTTAACAGTTCACTCATTTGTGAAATTTTTTAAAAACAACCATTCTCTGTGTCCCCCCCCACCCCCTGAGAGAATCATTCAACAGGCCAGTGGTAGAATTTCACATCGACAACAAATCAGTAATAAATAATTTTGAAGGGATATGCCAGTTCCTTTATTTAATGCTGGAGTAAAAATAAGCCCAGGATTTAAGAACTGGAAGTGTGAGTCATAATCCTCCCAGAACATCCCACTTAAGCACCCAACTAAAAGCTTGTTTGAAATCTATCCAGGGAATTAAGTACTCTCAACCTTTTCCTGCTTGAATGGAGCATTTGGAGATTGTGGAGTGTTGTAACAGTCTGACGACTGGCAGACTATTCTAATATAAAGAAATACTTAATTAAAATATTTTTAAGATACCCACCTTAGCCTTTTCTATGACATTTGCAAACTCGCCTACCCACAGGAAGCAGTAATGGGGCGATAACAGAAGGAAGCAGTCCCCACTATTGAGGGATGAAGCTCGGGGCTCAACCAGTCTGGTCTGCACATGTCTTCTCCCTGAAAATCAGGCGGAGTCAGTGTCTTCTCAAAGGAGAATTACCACCAGGAAACACCCACCACTAAATCATCCCCCTGCCAGGAACTCTTCCAATCCTTAAAAAACCTTCCAAGCCTCAAACTCATTGCTGTTGAGTCAGAACACATTCATAGCTGAGGCTCCAGTGGGTTTTCAGAGGTTTTAAGTCACAGGAGAGAAGACTGCCCATCTTTCTCCCATGCACAACTGGTGAATTCACACCACCTGCCTTTGGCCTGGCAGTCCAACTTGGCCACCGAGCCTACTAATGCTCTTGTGAATCCAGGTGATGAGGAGGGAGGTTTCAAATGGGCAACGTGATGCCTTTTCTGATTCCATTCTCATGGGAAAAGAAGCTCTGGAGGCGTACCCCGTAGGGAGTTGTGGTGCTACCCCAAAGGCAACACCTCTTAAGACAATCCTAATCTACCAGTGGTTCCACAGGAGAGTGATGGGTCGTCTCTTTCTGTGCAATGTACAGCCTCAGAAACCCCACAGAAGGTCAGTAATGAGCATGGTCTAACTCGATGGCAATGAGTGGGAGTGTGAGTTCCCACCATAATGCCATTTTCTTACTGCTACTATTCCTTCTAGCATCACGACCAGCATCTTTTCATAGAACCTGTTATGGTCACCTTTTTTCCTCCAGGACACTCAGCAATGTATTCCTTTCTCCCTTCTTCCATTTTTCTCCAGGCCCCACCTTCCCCACTCAGCCCACTTCCCACATTTAATTCATCTGTTCAGACAAGTCAGAACTGATTGGCAGGGGTGTAGGGCTTCCACAGGACCTTCCTCCTTGAGACTATTTATAAAACGATGGGAGCGTCAGCTCAGAGGGCAGCACTGCATGCAATAACCAATAAAATCTGCTCTTGTGGATCTCAACTCATAGTGACCCTGTACAACAGAGCAGGACTGCCCCATAAGGCTCCAAAGGCTGTAAATATTTACAGGAGCATCTCTCTCAAGCTGATCAGTTTGCGCTGGTAAACTTTCTGGTAGCCGTCAAATATTTAACCACTGTGCTCCTTCTGCTTTCAGTACTGGTTCCTAAGTGCCTTATTCCTCCAGATCTTTCCAGAATTACACTGGGTTTAATGCTAGCTTGTCACTAGAGAAGATTTTTCAATAATCTAAAAAAACCAGTGGTTATGCAGAAACCAAAAGTAGATGGTATCTTGCCCATCGTCCTTCTTTTGATGACGAATCTACAGGTGTGGCCTCTAGGGGGCAGCATACATCTCTCTCTTTCTCCTCAGAGACCAAAGCTTCTCTGGGTATCCTGTTGACCACAGTGAGTGAGTGAGTGAGTGAGTGAGTGAGTGAGTGAGTGAGTGAGTGAGTGAGTGATTGGAAGAAAAGGGTGCTCTGGTGGTATAGCACATAGGGAGTTACGCTGCCAACCCAAAGGCAAAACTTCTCTAGTGGTTCAAATTTACCCGTGGCTCCAGGAGAGAATGATGGGCAAGCTCCTTCTACAGCCTCAAAAATCAAATGTAGAGTCAAAACTGACTCAGTTCTGACTTGACAGCAATGAGACCAACAGAGCAGCACCTGGGGCTCCTTGGTGCATCATCTCCTGACCTCCCCACCCCCACCCCATGTTCCTCTAGGCCTGTTTATCTCTCCAGCCAGCCTGGATTCTTGTGCATCTGGTCTCAGACTCTCAGCTGTAACTACGTAGGAAGTACAAGGTTTCTGCTGATTGTGTCACGGTCTGGGGAACGAGGGGGCTGGCTGAGGCAGCAGCAGAAGCTGAGATTCTGGAGTGGGAGAGGCCTGGGCTCAAAACCAGAGTGACTGTGCACAGCACTGTTGTCTCAAGCTCATTTTCACCTCTGTGAGTCTCAGCCAGGGAGCTCTGGTGGCCGAGTGGTAAGAGGCTGCACTGCAGTTCCAAAAGTATGTGCACATCCACGAGCTGCTCTCTGAGAGAAGGATGGACAATTCCTTCCCAGGCAATTTACTGCCTTTGAAAATCTGCTGGAGGGTCAGCTATGAGTTGGTTCTGAGACGATGGCACAAAACAACAACAAGTCTCAGCAGGCCCTGATGCTTCCCATCTCAGAGACTTCTGTGATGCTTCAAGAGAGAATGTGGACGGGCTTGGCCCTCAGAAGGTTATTAAGGATATGAGGCTTCTCTTTGCAGGCAGTATGCCTCGTGATCACCCCCTCCCCCGACCAGTGTGGATGTACCCCACACAGCCCCGAGATACCTTTGATCTGTAACAGCATCAGCTTCTTGTAGGGCACTGCACTGTTGTTGGAATTCTGCTCCGTCAGGTTGACGCTCCGTAGGCTGACGCTGCTGAAGTTTTCTTTACTGGCCAAGCCTGCCAGGGTGACTTCGGAGAAGTTGGAGTTGGAGGACACTGGACAGGAGGGAAAGAAAGGAGGGAGATGGGAGATGTTTGGGCAAAATGCCAGTGTTTCCTGACACAAAACGCCAGTGCTAACTTACTCTCTCAGTCTTTCAAAGTTCATCCTGAGGGGAAGCATAACTCCAGTCTGACAAAGTTCAAAGGCTACCCAATCTTCTAAGAAGTAAATACAATATTGAAGATCATAAACTGTTTGGAGACAAGTGTCACACTTCACTGTGCAGACAAAGACTGACTGACATTAAAGGCCAACCACTTTAGCTCAAGACCTGAATACATTTGCCGTAATTCCCTTGAAAGGGGCCATAACCATTGCTAAAAGCTTTACATGTTGGAATACATTCTGAGGAAGCTTGTTAAATGCCTCTCACCAAAAGGCTCTCTGTGTAACAATACAAACTAGACACTTCAGAAGGCAGTGGCTAGCTTTAGTCTTTATTAGAGGCACAGTGATCTCCTCACATCCTTTGTTTCCAAACCTAAGAATGTAATAAGATGTTAGATTTTTAGCACACAACAATAAAATTACTCAATGATCACAAATTAACAGCCCTAGTCACCAAAAAGGGACTAGAGGAAGAGAATGTACTATTGGTGTCAATAAACCTTTATTTTATGGATTTAAAGGGAGGTTTGGTGGCCTAGAGGGTAAGAAGTTGTGCTACCAAGCCAGATACAGGTGGTCAAATTTACTAGTTACTCCAAGGGAGAAAGATGGGCAATCTCATCCTTTGCAATGCAGAACCTTCCAAAACCCTACTGCCTTTGATTCAATGGCACATAACAACGTTACAATAAGGTTTTAAAAAAATGCATAAGCAGGAGAAAAATCTATAAAATGGTTTCACCTAGGGTTAGGGTATAACAGTAAAGAGAAATAAGATTTCTTCACACTTTATAAGCAATCTTGAAATATATATTTTCTTAGTTAAGTAGACTGATGTGTAACACAATCAGTTCCCCTAGATGATGTATTTCTAAGACAAGCTTTAGGAAACAGGTTTATAAGTACTACATTGTTAGCTCAATAAGATCCAATGCACAACAGAATGGAATGCCTCCTCGCTGTGCACCACCCACACGACAAGCTGGGTGTCAATGGAATCACTGTGATTCATGGGGTTTTAATAAGTTGATTTTTAGATGTGACTATCTGGGCCTTTCATTCTAGTCTGTCTTAGTCTGGAAGCTCCTCTGAAATCAGCTCAAACATCATAGCAACACACAAACCTCCACTGGCTAACAGGTGGTGGGCACACATAAGGGATAGAGACAGGGAACTGAACGTAGGTGTTGGCATGGAAGGTGAAATTCTACCACCGAATCACCTCAGCCCTCTCTGAGCATAAGAGGAAGACAAAAACCACCAAGAACACCACCATTTCAGAACCCTGGAACCCCAAAAAGTTAGTCAGGGAGGGTCGCTCAGCCTGAAGAAGGAGCAGAGAGCTTGGATTCCACCCCCTCCACCCCATTCATTCGTGACTCTCACATCAACCCGCAGCTGCACGCAGAAGCAGGATGGGTGTCTGCATACTCACTCTTTTCTACTTTCATCCGCTTTGACTCCATAAAAGCAACATTTAGTCTCTGTTCTGTGTATTCCTGAAGAAGATCTTCTCGTGCTGCCAGCATCTTCAGAGGGTTTTTGGAAGCCTGCACGCGGCGCTTGGGTCTGACTGCACGCTTGTGCTCGGCCACTGACGAGGTTAACCTGGGGAGCAAAGGAGAGCTGAGACCCTGGTCTGCACCGCTTCTCCCTCTGGGAGTGCTGGGTTCTATTACTTCATTTCCTGGCTTCTTCATATATCTTACACAGTTTCCTCCTGCCTGCCACTCTCCCAACACAGTGTCACAGGATCTTAGAGCTAGAAGGAAGACTTGGGCCCACTGATTCCTGTCACTGGCAGAGCCCTGCCTTATATCATGCACACAGGTTCTGCTTGGAGGGGTGGTCAAATCTTCGGGGCCATTTGTATGAAAAAAAGAAACATGTATAGTACACAGTCCCTGTGTATATTCCAGCCCTTATGCTGGAAAGCACATCTTTTTTGGATGAATCCACCTCACAGAAACATGCAACTGGCTCTAGAAACAAATAATGTGGGTTCTGAAGCAGAAGATAACACAGTAGGAGAGGATCCCAGTGAAAGCACTGAGTGGAGGCAGAATAAGGAAGTCATATTTAGCGAAAGGAACAGATGAGGTGGAAATAACTCACTTGGGTGCGTAAGGGTCAAAAATAACATCAAAGTCCTCGTCCAGCTCCACGGGACTTCTTGGTGAAGTGCAGTCCATGCTGCGGTAAAATTTGGCAAAGGTTTCGTCGTCATCCAACTTCATCACCTCTTTGACAGATTTCCCGGTAACAGTGAGGACGGTTTCTTGCATCCCACCAGCTATCAACAAACAAGCGTATACACAACATATGATGTGTATGACTGTAGCAATGCCTTACAGTATTTTCAAATTGTGCCCTACCTAAGCTCCGGGTGTGGAGGGAATATGCTGAGGACACACACAGGGTGTTGTGGAGGTGTTACTGGGCCTGACTTGACTTCTCACGTAAGGTCCTCCCACCTCAATAAAGCCTCCACAGCAAAATGGTAGGAGACTGGGAGGTCTGTATACAAGCCTGTGAAGCATCCACTGCTTGACATGTTCCTCTCCTTACTGGAGCTGGGAGAGGCTCATATCATTCTAGCACAAAGGTTGGTAAGCTTTTTCTGCAAAGAGCCAGGTGGTATATATTTCAGGCTTCCAGGGGAGCCATATGGGTTCTTGTAACTCCTCACAACTCTGTTGTGGTAATGTACAAGTAGCTATTGACAATATGTTAACAAATGGATGTGTTCAAATAAAACTTTATTTACAAAATAGGTGGAGAGTTGGATTTGGCTGATGTCTGGCTTAGATCTCTGTCACATGTATATAATAACTTTTCCTGACCATTTGCCTTACTGGCCTAGTTGCTTTACCTACTCTATTATGCTTTTATAATTCAAGTCCGAAGTTGGGTTCTTTATGTTGTTGAGTATCATTGAGTGGGGACCAACGCATAGCTGACCCTGCAATGAGTTTTGAGAGGCTGGAAATCACAGGGAGGAGATTGCCCATATTTCTCCTGCAGAGCAGTTGGTGGATTTGAACTCATATGCCTTTCAGTTGGCAGAACAGTTTCTTACCACTAAGCTATTAGAGTGCCCTATCATTTAGAAGGAGTTGTTTATTCTCAAATTATTACAGCTCTCTGCCAACAGTAGGAGATCCCAGCTCCTACTATTTGACAAGTGTTAAGTACTAGACATACTATTTAGATGATAAGGAGCTACTTCTCCACATTATTCCTTCATTCTGTGTAATTACAGATATTTGTGCTGAACTCTGCACTTCAACATTTATCAACATTTTCTTTTAATAATAATTTGTGACTGTAAGAAACAATATCAGCTTTTACCTTACTGGAAGATGATATTGTATTGATGAAATTGTATAAATTTAAAGATCATTGAATCCCAAATCATGTTGACTTCGGATGTGTACAGTGACCTGCTTTCAGGCTTAAAAGCACCATTACCTGGTTTCTAATTCTGACTGCGTTATATACCAAAGGTTCTACATTTGTGAACAAATGAGTGACTAAGGGTCTCCAGTTTAGTACATTATCAACTGCACAAAGCTTGGTGAGCCAGTCAGGCTTGATTACTAACTTCCTATGTGCTCTCACAACATAGGGACTGCTTTAGAAAGATGGATCAGTGAAGCTATCAAACAAAGCAGCCAATTCAGCTGAGACAAAAACACAACCAGTATTGGGCCTTAGAGATCTCACTGGGTGAGCAGGTGTTGGCCTAAGTTCCTTGGACAAGGGTTGAAGACATGCATCAGTCAGCTGTGAGCCGAGGAACCAATGCCGGCTCCTGGCCTTTGCTTTGTACCTTTGCTGTTGAGCCTGCGGAGAAAGGTTTCCAGCCTGTCCAGCTTCAGGTCAGATTCTAATTGCATGTCTGGTCTTGCTTCGATATCTGAGCAAAATAAGAAACCACCAATGAGAGAACGCCACTAAGTATTCCTTGGCCCACAGGCCCATTGGTGTAGGAGGTCTCAGGATGACTTACCTTCCTGTGGTTTGGAGACTGGGGTGGTACCTCTTGTCTTACTGCAAATGGGAGAAGCTACTGGAGTTATGGCAGTTGGTGATGCCAACCCTGCAGAGCAAACAAAGGAGCTATTTAGCATCTCAGTCCCATCTCTGGGAATTCTCAGAACTCAGATGCAGTGCAATATCTAGCGTAGATTTTACAATTTCTAGAATCTTCACACAGACACATTTAACAGAAACCATGAATATGTGAGACACTTGTAAATATAAATGAGCTTTTATTGTTTCTGAGGACTAGTGCAGTAGTTAACATTCCAAAATGAACAATGAAGACATATTGTAAAATGAGTCTACTGACATGTCAACTGAATAGACAAATGTATAAGCAATCTGGATACACTAGAACTAATATAGTTGTGAGTGCTGAAGGCCCTTTGTGTGTGGGGTGGGCAGGGTAGCGTAAGAGAAAGCACATTTGTAGCATCTCCCAGAGGCAGTAAAGAATGGGCTGTGTCATGTTAGTTACCCAGCAAATGTTGCCTACACTCCTCCACACAGAAGTGATGGAGGGACAACGTGCTGTGGGTACCTCCTTCCGTGGGGCTGAGCAACAGTGCCAGGAATGGCAACCTTTAGACAAAAGGAACATAAGAACCTAGATTTAAACAGGTCTGTGATTGTTGGAGGTTGTTTCACAACAACTGCTGTGACTGAGAACTGGCTGTATGTTTCCATAATCATTTAAGGTCCTTTGGCAGCGTGAACAGTTTATGCTCAGCTACGAGCTGAAAGGTTGGTGGTTTAAATCTATTTGAGGGTGCAGTGGAGGATAGACTTGGCAGTCTGTATCCATGAAGATTCTAGCCAAGAGAAAGCTAGGAAGAGTCTATTATAGAACACATGGGGTCGGAAATGACTCAAATCCAGTGACCTTGGTTTTATGAAGAAGCTGGAGTGTGGGTGGGCAGTCTTTAAAGCACAATTTGGTAAGGATTATGTGAAAAGAGCTGTTCTAGCACAGAAAGGGAATCCAGGGGGAATAAGAAAATGAGTATTCTTTTCCTTAACCTAAGTAAAAGAGACTATCAAAAGGAGTGAATAGTACATTTAAAAAGACCAAAATGAGATGCTAACAGTTTTTGCCTTCATTTGTAAACAAATGTGTAATCTACGTTGCTGGAAGGTGCTGCTGGGGCATCTACGGCTCACTGTAACCTTAAGAACAACAGAGTGAAACCTTATCCTCTTTTGTGCCATCTTCACAATCCCCTAAATGTTCCACCCCATTGGTACAGTCACTGTTGTTGGGGGTCTTGTCCCTCAAAGAACAACATGAGGAAAATAAATCACTGCGATCTACAAAGAAAAATAACTGAATGAACTCTGCCCCTCCATCCCATAATCAGAGACACATGTATGATAGCACTTAAGTTTGAAGGAAAAATACGGAAATAGGGGTTGATCTGTAAATTTTAAGTAATATTTAAGAAGTACTTTTCAGTATGTGTAGGTATTTGCTTGATGACAGCAATAAAATAAAACAAAAAATCATTTCAATTACAAGCCTGCAAAGAGTTTATTGCCAGGAGAACATAAATTGTCTGGAAGAATAATAAAGATAAGTAAAATTTGGTGCCCAAGGTTTATCACACACTGGAGCAGTAAATCATTGTCTAGTGAAAGGGTTCTTAGGAGGCATCCGCACAGCTCATTAGCACAGAGGTCATTAACTCGCAGCCAACAGTGCTGACTCAAGAGGCCGACTTCTAAAGCCTCCAGCTGAATCCACCTCTACAGTTTGAGCTGTGGACATAGCTGCAGCCACACCACCCTCTGCTGCCTATTCAGGTAACAGCACCAAGAAGGAGAGAATGAGTTTCTGGCTCATTTGAGGCTATTTAGAGGGGCATACAGATTTAAATTCACAGATTTAAATTTAAATTAACTTTATAATGTTAATACAAAACAAGAAACAGTAAACCTTCTTCCTAAAAAAATTTTTTTTAAAGGAGTTCTACATCAATAACTTTTCAATCTGTGTGCAGAACAGATCATCCGAGACGCTGGGCTGTACGAAGAGGAATGTGGCATCAGGCTTGGTGGAAGAATTGTCAACAACCTGTGTTATGCAGATGACACAACCCTGCTTGCTGAAACTGAGGAGGACCTGAAGCATTTGCTGCAGAAGGTCAAGGACTGCAGTCTTCAATATGGATTGAAGCTCAATATCAAGTAAACAAAGATTCTCACCACTGGGCCAATTGGCAGCATCAGTTTACTTGGCTCCACAGTTAACACTCTTGGTAACAGCAGCCAGGAAATCAGGAGACAAAATGCATTGAGAAAGTCAGCTGTGAGGGACCTCTCAAAAGTACTTAAGTGCAACGACATCAGGCTGGAGACTAAGGTACGTCTCATCCAGGCTATAGTCTTTGCAATTACGTGCTATGCATTGGAGAGTTGGACAGTGAATAGGGAGGATAGACAGAGAATTGATGCCTTTGAATTGTGGTGCTGGAGAAGAGTGTTGAATATATCATGGACTGCTAGCAGAACAAACAGGTTTGTCCTGGAGACGGTGAAGCCAGAATGTTCCCTGGAGTCAAGGATTCTGAAGCTTCATCTGACATACTTTGGGCATGCCGCAAGGAGGGACTGGTCCTTGAAGAGGGACATCATGTTTGGGAAAGTGGAGGGACGGCGCAGGAGAGGAAGACCCTCGATGAGATGGATCAATTCTGTGAGTGGAGTGGGAGTGGAGTGGGAATGAATGTGTTTGAGACAGCGAGGTTGGCACAGGATAGAACTGTGTTTAGGGCTCTTGTACATATAGGGTCGCTATGAGTTGCAAACGACTCGATGGCACGTAACAACAACACAACATCAATAACTAGGAATTCAATAACTGAGAATAACCTGAGAACAATTTCATATATTCTTATCCAAAGGGAGGGAGCTCTGTAGAATCTGTACAGAGTTGCCCCGCTAACCAAAGACCACTTTTCTCTGGAAGTTCAAATCCACCAGCAGCTCCTTGTGAGAAATATGGGCAATTGGCCTTGGGAATCCCATGGAGGGTCTGCTATGAGTCAATTGTGACTCAACAGCAATGCATGAATATTCAAAGGCTTCATTTTAAATATTCTAGGAAAATGCCCAAATATCACAAAGCTCTTGTGGAAGAGTAAAGAATTCTTAAGTGAAATTTGTTGCTGTTGTTGTTGTTAGTTGCCATCATATTGACTACAACACAGGGACCCTATGATCAACAGATCTACACCTTGCCCTATTCTATCCTATCCTCACCATTTCCGATATACTTGAGTCCACTGTTACAGTCACTATCAACATGTAAAGTCAAATAGAGGAGGTTCAAAAGAGGAAGAAAAATGTAACACGCTTGGGGGGTGGGAGGAAGAGAGAGCCCCATGGGATGACAGAGTGAACCGCAGGATGCAATGTCTGGGAGCTGCCTATGTGTGGTGATTCAGTTGTAGCCTCATGAGATGCACAGCCTCCAAGGCTTACTCTATTCTGAAGGGGGCTTATTCTATTCTGCAGTAAGTGCACCTTGGAAGCCCTATCTCTGCAAATTAGAATGCTTGTGGTTCAAGGTAAACACATAAGCCAATATCAGACAAAAAGGGGATCGTTTCTTCAACTGATTGTAAGCTAGTGTGCAAGAACATTCTTTCCTGAACATGCCATGTGTTGTTAGGTACTTTTGAGCTGGCTCCAGACTCACGGGTGATCCCATGCACAATACGACAAAGTCTTGCCCAGTCCTGCACCAATATCACAATCAGTTGAGTGTGGACTCCTATGATCCAAAGGGTTTGAAATGACTGCTTAAAAAAAAAAAAAAGTAGCTTGCCAGACCTTTCTTTCTTGTCTGTCTTAATCTGAAAGCTTCTGAAACCTGTTCAGTATCATAATATTATGCAAATCTCCATTGACAAATAGGTGCATGGGGGGGGGGTAAATGGAACCCAGGCCTCTCACACAGAAAGAAAGCATTCTGCCCTGAACTGGCATGCTATGTTGTTCTTAAGTGCTGCTGAGTTGAGTATGACTCATAGTGACCCTTTGAACAGCCATTCTGACCCTTACCGTATCCTGTGCTATCCTCATCACATTTAAAACACTAGAGCCCACTGATGAAGTCAAAGGGTCAATCCATCTCATTGGGCCTCTTTCTCTCCTTCACTGACCCTCCATCCTTCCAAGCATAATATCCTTTTCCAAGGAATAGCCTCACCTAGCTACATGTCCAAAGTATGAAAAATGATGCTTGCTCATCCTTGCCTCCAAGCAACATTCTGGCCTCCATTCTTTCCAGGACACATCTGTTTGGGTTTTTCTTTTTCTTTTTTTTTTTGCAGCCCATGGGATATTCATTACTCTTCTCCAGCACCACAACTCAAAGGCATCAAGTCTTCTTCTGTCATCCTTAGTCATTGTCCAGTTCTCTTATGCACAGCAAGGGATTGAGAAGACCATGGCATGAATCAGGCACACCTTAGTCTTCAAATTGACATTATTGCTATTCCATATTTTGGAAAGGTCCTTAACTGCACACTTGCCAAATGTAATACATCTGATTTCCTGACTGCTGGTACCAATAAAATCATTGACAACTTCAATCTTATTTCTATCTACTGGAATGTTGACTCTTGGGCCTGTGGTGAGGGTTTCTGTCTTCTTGGTGTTGACATGTAATCCACTGAAGGCTCTAGTCTTTGATCTTCTGCAACAGATGTTTCATATCCTCTTCATTTTCCGCAAGCAAAATTGTGTCATTAGCAATAATGGAGGTTGTTGATGAGTTTTCCTTCAACCGCGATGCCACACTCCTCTTCATAGAGTCTAGCTTCGTGAATGATCTGCTCAGCATACAGACTGAATAGGTACGGAAAAAGGACACAACCCTGTGCTCTAAGTTTACCCCATGAGGGATATAGCAACTACTCTCACTTCATTCTCCAAATCTTCATAAAATCCATTCACCCCAGCCCTGGCCAGATGATAGACTCCTCTAACTTCCTGTTTCAGACATTTAAAGGGAACACTAGTGGCCTGGTGGGTAAGGAGTTGTGCTGCCAACACAAAGGCGGACAGTTGGAATCTACCAGATGGCTCTGAGGGAGAAATCTGGAAAGTCTCCTCCTGTGTAATTTAAAGCCTCTGAAAACTTGCTAGAGGGTCAACCACCAGTTGGTTTTTGGCAGTAACGAGTGAGTGTGAGTGGGAAATGTAAAGTGGCTGTTCTACTTCTGATATCACTGCGGACAGACACAACAGTATTTTGGAGTATGCGCTCACTTATAAATTGTTTATTTGTTTTAGGTAGGAAAGGAAAACAGAAATCAAAGTACGACAAAGTCATGAGGAGATAACTGTTCGAGGAACTGGGTGACTTGCAATCTTAATCTGACTGCAAATTAGAGGACTAAATTGTTAATCTGTGTTCTCCTGAACCTATCCTGTTTTTTTAAATGGAGATGAGATTCCGTGTTAAAGCAATTTGACATGAATACTCAGTTCTTGGACAGAAGAAGAAAGCAGTCAAATGCTAGCTTATTCACTGAGTGGACACAGGCTTCTGCTACTTTTTTTGACAAAACCAAGATTAGGTGAGAATATTTGTTGTTGTTGTTATGTGACATCAAGTCGCCTGGGACTCACAGACTCATGTGACTCTAGCACAACAGCCCTAACCCCTGCTCTATCCTGTGCCAGTCTCACTGTCTCTAACACACTTACCCCCAGAGGAGTTAGAAAGTCTTCCTCCACTAAGATTTAACTTTACAAAAATTTAGGGGCTGTCCCTTTTCTTCTCTTGTGCATATGTTTTATTATACATCTGACAATAAAATAGTCATGATTTCTAAGTGAAAGGATCACTTTCAAAGGTTTTGAAAGAAAGGAAAGACAAGCCTACACAGTTAAAACGTAAATTAGGGCGAAGTAATGTAATCATTTCATCATCAATTTAGAAATTTGGCTTTTGAAATAGCAGCTTAGAAAATTAATTATTTGTGCATACAAATCAGAAAAAAAAATAAACACACTTGCTGTTGAGTCAGTGTGGGCTCAAGGAGCCCCACTGAGTGTTAGACTAGAACTCTGTTCCACCAGTGGCTTATGTTTTAGGTGTAGACAGCCAGGACGTCCTTCCAATGCACATCTGGATAAACACAAACCTCCACCCTTTCAGTTGGTAGCCAAGCTTCTGTTGGCCCTGATGAAGCCACTCTATAGGTGACAATAACACAAAACTCACTTCCACAGAGTCTGAATCAGTTCATACTTTACCTTCCAGCCAATTTTCTGGGGCTAGAAATGGCACAAGAGGGCATTATTCACCCTTGTCCTGAAGAGCTGTTAGTGGACCAGAACGAACAGAGATGCACAGTCTCTGGGTTAGAGTGCAAGTCCCTGTGGCCCACCGCCACCACAGCGCCCTTCTAGGCAACAAAAGGACCTCAGACTTTACATACTTCCTATATGATAGAAAATAAAAGCCATTTCTATCCCCATGGGATTGCAAATCTCCCAGACTTTACTAACCATGTAAAGTGCCTGTCTTATAAACATTTAGATAAAAGTTTCAAATTAGTAAATCCCAAGAATTCAGCCACAGAAAATAACTGTCTACAAAGAAATCCCTCATCTCTGGAACTGGATGCATCTTTTAGACAGTTATTTAAAGTGTCTGGAAACCAGGCTTTGTCAGAAATCTTACATGATGCCAAGAGAGCTGAGTATTATTATAAAGAGGCGAGGAGACCCAAAGCTACTTTACACAGAAAAGCTCACTTGAGAGACCTTGTTGCCAAATCACAAGAATATGGAAATCATTTACTAGTAACTCTGAGAAGAAACTGGGATTTGCTAGCAGATTTACAACTGATTTAGAAATCTGTGCTCAATTTCCAAATGGGTACATTTTGAAACAGGCATCAAAGAAATTCTTCTCAGATTGAAAATGGCATTATTTATAAAGAAAGGGTTTCTAGTAGGGGTAGCTCATGAAACTGTGGTAAGATTAAACTAAAGATAGTTATGACTTTTATATATTAAAAACCAAAAGGACAAGAAGTTGCTTCTGTGGTTTGGCACTTCACACAAAGTATATTTGCCAAACCAAGAGCCAATATCATTCTCAATGGAGAAAGGCTAAAAACATTTTCCTTGCGAATAGGGACCAGACAAGGAAGTCCATTAGTCACTACTTCTATTCAATATTGTAGTAGAAGTGCTTGCTAGGGAAATATGACAAGAGAAGGAAATAAAATGCATCCAGATCAGCAAAGAAATGGTTAAAATGTCACTATGTATGTGGATGATATGATAGTGTACATAGAAAATCCCAAAGAATCAACAAAAAAACTACTAGAGCTAGCAGGGCAATTTAATAGAGTGGAAGGATAGAAGATCAGTATCCAATTATTAGTGGGATTCCTGTACAGTAACAAAGAGAACACAGAGAAGGAAACAAAGAAAGCAATATCATTTACAATAGCCAACCACAAATTGAGATAATTGGGAGTAAACCTATCTAGAGATACAAAAGACCTATACAAAGAAAACTACAAAATATTTCTGCAAGACACAATAAAAGACCTAAAGAAATGGAAAATGTGCCTTTTCATGGATAGAAAGACCCAATATTGTGAAAATGATAATCCTACCAAAAGCAATCTACATATTCAATGCAATCCCAATACAAATACCAAATTTAGTTTTCGAAGAGATTGAAAAGCAAATTGTCAAGTTTATTTGGAGAGGAAAGAGATCCTGAATAAGCAAAACATTTCTAAGAAACAAAAATGAAGTGGGAGGTAAAGCACTCCCTGACCTAAAAACCTACTACACAGTGGTAGTAACCAAAACAGCCTGGTACTGGTACAATGACAGGCACACAGAGCAGTGGAAGAGAAGTGAGAACCCAGAAATATACTCAGCTATCTATGGTCAACTGATATTTGACAAGGAAATAAAGCCCATCAACCTCTTCAAATGATAACCTCTACAACAAATGGTGCTGGCAAAACTAGACTGCTACCCGCAGAAAGCTGAAACAGGATCCAAATCTCACACCATACACAAAAATCACCTCAAGGTGGATAAGAGACTTCAGAGTAAAGCCCAAAACCATAAAGTTTATAAGAGAAAAACTGGGATCAAGCTTAGAAGCTCTAGTCTATGGTATAAAGAGACTACCAAATATAGCCAGAAATGTACAATCTGAAGAAGATAAAATTGATGAATGGGGCATTCTAAAGATTAAATCCCTGTGTACATCAGAAACTTTTCCCAACAAAGTGAGAAGAAAGTCTACTGACTGGGAACAAATATTTGGCAATACCATCTCAGACAAGAATCTCTTAACAAAAGTTTCTAGAATACTCCTGGACCTCCACAAGAAAAAGTCTAACTCAATAACAAAATGGGCAAAACACATGGAAAGAGTTTTCAAAGAGGAAAATATCAAATGGCCAACAGATATATGAAGAAATGCTGCAAATCACTGGCAGATGCAAATCAAAACCACAATGAGATACCATCTCACTCCAGTAGCAGTGGCAAAGTTTTAAAGGATAGCAAGTAATACATGCTGGAGAGGATTTGATGAAATAGGACCTCTTTTACATTGTTGGTGGGATTGTACAATGGTACCTCCACTCTGGAAGGCAGTTTGGCGCTTCCTCAAAAAGCTGAACATAGAAATTCCATATAACTCAGCTATTCCACTGCTTGGAATATATCCCAAGAAAATGAGAACTGAAGCTCAAATAGAAACTTGTACACCAATATTCACAGCTGCATTATTCACCATCACAAGAACATGAAAACAGCCTAGATGTCTAACCACAAATAAATGGATTGAGAAGTTGTGGTACATTCACACATGGAATACTATTTAGCATGCAGAAGCAATCATTTTGTAAATTACTATCTAACTTGGGAGGGACTGGAGAGCATTATGCTAAGTGAACTAACTCAGCCCCACAAGGACAAATACTGTATAATACCATTATTGTAGGATCCAAGGCGGGTTGGAGGGTGGAAATAAAGGGGTAAGAATAGGGCGTAGGATGTTAATCATAGGGTTGCACAATCTGATGGGTGGATGGGATGAAGGAAATGGGAAGGATCTTTTGTGAAAAAACAATGTATACAAACTTTGTAAATAAATCAGAGTAAAATAAAAAAATTAAAAATCCAAAAAAAATATAATGCATCGGAATGATTATGTGAAACACAATGTGAATGAAGAATAATGTGAAACACAATGATTATGAACTTCGTAAGCAAACCAATATATAATAGATTTTTTAAAAAAGAGAAAAACCCCACAGCTATACCTGCATGCACACTCAGACACGCGCACATGTACGTGCCCGTCCAAGCCCACACTGACCTTTTTTCACCATCCTCCCAGCCACAGTGAATTGTGTGGAATCATTGGCAGCTCCTTTGCCTTTTGTCTTCCAGGCTTCTTCTCGGACTGTGATGAGTTGCTTCCTTTCCTCAATTGTCATTTGACTTTCTCGACTTTCTGTGACTCGCTGTTCACAAAATGCACACAGAGGGAAACAGGGAGAGAAACGATAGATATGTGATTTTCAGCTAGTAGCATTCCATGAGCAAAGAGGAGCAATGTATTTTTCCAAAACACCCATTAGCGTTCTATCTAAAACGGTCTCTGAAGTGGGTGTGACTTCTATTCTTTCCGGCTGGAGCTAGAGACTACCACTAAAAGTACTGAAATGATAGGTGAACACTTTGGTTTTCTTCCCTTGTTTCTTTAGAACACACAAATGGAGAGACTGTCTGCATGTCATGAAGTTCACCGCCTCCGAAGACTCAGTTCATCTACTGATGAAGCTGAGTTGATGAGATTTTACCCATGTATACTCACACGTATCATGACCAAGTGAGAGGATTTTTCCTGTGTGAATTGATAGGGAACAAGCTAGTTCTTCAGTAGGAAAAGGTGGTTAGGAATCAAGTGGGTAACAGGAAGGTTTTCTAGAACTCAGAATGCTTATTTCTGGGAACAGCAAAGTTATGTGGGTTTGCCAGCCTTGGAAGTAAAATTAAACCATGATACAGCCATGCTAAGGCCATCCATCTGTATAAAGCATATATTTACACAGTACATATTTAAGAGATAAAAGATTAGATAATTTTATCTATTATCTATCTATCACGTGCTTTGTATTACACACACACATTGTTGTCATGTACTACTGAGTCAAAACCGACTCATAGCTGAGCCCCCCAGTGGCTGTTCAGAAGCAGTTAATTGCACGGGAGGAGATTACCCATTCCTCCTGCAGAGCAGCTAGTGGATTTGAACCACATGCCTTTGAGTTGTCAGAACATTTCCTTACCACTAGGACATATGCATATCTAGTGTTGACCTGAAAGAATACCTTTTGTCACGCTTCTACTCCCAGTTGTGGATCCCTGCCTCTTTGAACTCTAAGCTACCTGTGACACCCTTTCAGCCTGCAGTTGGGATGCAGCTATGTGACGGGAAAAAGCAGTGTGCCCATGAGGGACCAGGAAGGAAGGAAGAGTTGAGGTAGGGGCTGGGATGAAGGTGATGTGGTGAGATGAGAGGATGGGAAGCAGGACTGGGAGCAGAGAGATGATCCTAAGGCCCCAAGGCTGGAAGAATCAGTTGGGCTCTAAGAAGCAGGGATGGCAGAGAGAAAGCTGGCTGAGAGGAAGAGTGTGGAGGTGGTTGTAGGATGGTATTAGGGTAGTCAGTTCTGAAATGTTGGCAGGAGATAAGGTAGCTTAGGGGTAAGGAATTGTGGTGCTAAGCCAAAGGTACATGGTTCAAATCCACCACTTGCTCTACAGAAGAAGGATGGGCAATTTCCTCCCTGAGATTTACTGCCTCTAACAGCCAGCTGGAGTACCATCCATGAGCCAGTTACAACTCCATGGTACACAACAACTTCCTTCAGAGCCTCTTCTTCTTTCATCCTGAAAACCCTCTCAGGGCTCCAGAAGGGGATAGGTGCTAAGGGAAACAATGCCGAGGGAAAAATCCTCCACACAGCAGAAGGCGCTTCCCAGCTGTCCCCAGGAAGTCATTACTATGAGGGGGCCTGTGTAAGGCAGTGATCGTCTATGTGCTTGCTCTTGTTTTTTCAACCTCGCCATCTCCTTACTAAGGAGAAATGGCACTTTTGCTAGGGCTTGTGCTTTCATAATAGAATTAAGTGTTCCTTAACTTCCTCTGGCCATTCTTCCAGCTCTTCTTCACTCAGGAGTGACTCTTCTGACAAGAAGTCTCAGTTCAGTGCATTCAGGATTTATCAAGGTGATCTTAAAACCTTTTTCCTGACATAAAAAGAATACCAATTACTAGAATGGAAAGTGCCTCCTAGGGTGCTCAGGGAATCTTTTCCTCCACAACTTGCCATCACACTTCCCTCAATGGACACCCAGAAAACTACTTCCAGATTCATAAAGGGTGGGAAGACAGTGGAGATCTCATTTTATTAACGTCTCAGAATGATGGCAGATGGTGGGAGGAACAGGATACAAAGGAAACTTGGAAAATCCTCGTGTCTTTTCCCTTGTTAAAATTCTATTTGGTTCAGGAATGTCTACTTCTCCACCATCCAGCTTATGCATCTTCCTTTAACATGTTTCTTCTCCAGAGCAAGCCCAGTCTGAACTGATTCTGAAATGTGTGATGATTTAGATTAGGTTAAAAATCTTTTCCCTAAAGAAATGTGACAGTGGAATGTAATGTCAGATCCTGGCTTAGATCCTAGACAGGAGGGCTGAAAGGGAAATCAGTGACTCCAGAAGACAGAGAAGAGAGGTTTCCTTAGGAGAGCAAGTCTCCAGGTGTCACTGATGGGTTCACACCTTGGACTTATCAGTTGGCACCAGGCCTCCTTTAGAAGGACTTTTAACTCACAGAAACCCGCTTCCAAGGCTGAAAATCTTTACTGAAGACACTGTTCCTCTTTCTCCTGAGAGGCTACTAGATTCAAATCACTGACCTTGCCCATGCCGTCAGAGAGCGTTACAAAGGGCAGTGGGAGGAAATCAATACAATTGGAATTTGGATTGTGGACTAGATCAACGTTAAAATTCCTCATCCTGATCACTGTCATTATGCTTCTGTGAGACACTATCACTGACATTAGGAAATACATACTAGAGTACTGAAAGGCAAAGGGTCTTGCATCTCCAAGCTGTGCAGGGGATACTTAATGATATACATATGTAAATATAGTCTATATTTATAAATTATGTACTTATAAAAATATAGATATATATTTGGCAAAAGGAGAGGGAGGGAAGAGAGTGAAGGAGAATGGTGAAGGAGAAGAGGGGAGAAGGAAGGGAGGAAAGGATGGGAGGAACAATAGTAATGGCAATATGTTGTTACTGTTGTTATGTGCCGGTGAGTCGTCTGCGACTCATAGCGACCCTGTGTACAACAGCCCTAAACTCTGCTCTATCCTGAGCCAACTTCACCATCTCTGACAAGCACACCCTCATTACTCCAGTCACTGAATCAATCCATCTCATCTAGGGTCTTCCTTTCTCGCACATTTCCTCAACTCTCCCTAGCATGCTGTCCCTCTCCAAGGACTGGTCCCTCCTTGCAGCATGCCCAAAGTATGTCAGACGGACCTTCAGAATTCTTGCTTCCAAGGAGCAGCCTGGTTATACCTGGTTACACCCTCTCTAGGAGGAATCTGTTTGTTCTCTATAACTTTGAGATTTTACCAAAACCCAAAAGTCATAAAAAATATTTAAAAGCATCTTTCATTAACTTACTCTCTTGTGCTTGGACACATGACTCTGACCCAACATAACCTGGTGCCTCTGACTCACACATCTTTATTAAACTATGCAGCTGACTCTGCCAGGAAGACTCCTTCAACATTCAAACAAGAGGGTGAGTTGAGGATGAAGGTGCCAAAGTGAATTTTAATCATTCCAATATGGCACTTAGCTTAAACTATGTCTAGGAACATTTCAATTGCCGAGAACAGCTGCTTCTCTAAAGGTGCAAGGAGCACTAGATCTGTGGATGGACACAGAGTAACACATCTCGGATGCCCTGGGGTGAGGCCATGTGGTGTGGTTGATGTCTCAGCAACATGGTAGCCTCATATCAAAAGGTTCATTTCCTACAATGCTCAAGAGCTCCCCAGATATTTGGAGAGGCAAGAAACCCCGAATAAGCAAAACATTGCTGAGAAACAAAAAGGAAGTGGAAGGCAAAGCACTCTCTGACCTCAAAACCTATACACAGCAGTAGGAACCAAAACAGCATGGTACAGGTACAAAGATCAGTGGAACAGAATTGAGAACCCAGAAATAGACCCAGCTATCTATGGTCAACTGATATTTGACAAGGAAATAAAACCTATCAAAAGGGGAAATGACAACCTTTTCAACAAATGGTGCTGGCAAAACTGGACTGCTACCTGAAGAAAGCTGAAACAGGATCCACATCTCACACCATATAAAAAAATCACCTCAAGGTGGATCAGAGACCTGGGAGTAAAGCCCAAAAGCATAACGTTCATGAGACAAACGTTCATGGGAGTCTACCAAATACAGTGAGAAATGTACAATCTGAAGAGGATAAAATTGATGAATGGGACCTTCTGAAGATTAAATCCCTGTGTTCATGAAAAACTTTTTCCAACAGGATGAAAAGAAAACCTACTGACTGGGAAAAAAACATTTGGCAATACCATCTCAGACAAGAGTCTCATAACAAAAGTTTATAGAATATTCTTGGGCCTCCTCAAGAAAAAGTCTGAAAACCCAATTACAAAAGGGGAAAAGATATGGAAAGAATTTTCACAAAGGAAGATATTTAATTGGTCAACAGATGTATGAAGAAATGCTCAAATTACTCGCAATACCATCTCACTCCAGTAACAGTGGCAAAGTCTAACAGGGCAGCATATAATGTTGGAGAGGATGTGGTGAGATAGGAACTCGTTTACATTGTTGGTGGGATTGTACAATGGTACAACCACTCTGGAAGGCAGTTTGGTGCTTCCTCAAAAAGCTGAACATAGAATTTCATATGACCCAGCTATTCCATTGCTTGGAATACATCCCAAGAAAATGAGAACTGAGGCTCAAATGGAAACTTGTACACCAATGTTCATAGCAGCATTATTCACCACTGCAAGAACATGGGAACAGCCCAGATGTCCAACCACGAACAAATGGATTGAGAAGTTGTGGTACATTCATACAATGGAATACTATCCAGCACAAAGGAGCAATCATTTTGTAAATTATATCTAACTTGGAAGGGACTGAAGAGCATTATGCTGAATGAACTCAGTCCCACAAGGACAAATACTGTGTAATACGATTATTGTAGAATGAGTATGAGGATCCAAGGCGGGGGGTAGGGATAGAGGGGTGAGAATGGGGGGTAGGGTGTTAATCAAAGGGTTGCACAATTCAATGGATGGGTGGGGTGAAGGAAATGGGAAGGATCTTTTGTGACAAACAATGTATTCAAACTTTGTAAATAAATCAGAGTAATATT